ACTAAATTTAGATGTTTCAGCGTGTAGTTAATCATCAATCTTTTCCCTGATGGGAATCTTTCACTGAATGCCAGTGGCATTCAAACTGATCTAATAATAAGTTATGGCAAAAGTACTTTCTTTTAAAAATTACCTTAAAAAAATAAAAAAATCACCCCTGGCTTTTCTCTGCCCTCTGACATCCCAGAAACTCTCTCCTCTGAGATTATATAATTAAATAAATTTAAATACAGCAGAGGATTCTTTGCCTACAAGTAAAATTTAGGAGTGGATGAAGAAGGAGTGAGATCATGCATATTAAAAGTGAGTTATTGACTTTTTTTCCCAACAGAAACTAAATTGAGTCATCATATTGCAAGTTTGCAATACTACAGGCCTGACTTGATATCATTCTTTAAAAGATGACTGTAGATATGTGGGTTTATATGAAATCACATCAGATGACAGTCTGGTGTAGAAATTGTAATGTAAATCAGATCATGAAATCTGAAGCTACTTTTCTGCTATGTGTAAGATATGCAAAGTACCTTTGTTTCTTTAGTAGTTTTAAAATCTAAAAATGCATTATGATCTTTCAGTGACAGACTCTTTTTCTAGTTGTCAGAGAAACAAGAGCAATATGGTTATTATTGAAGTAACTTATTTTTCTCCTCAACAATCTTCGAGAGTCTTCAGGAATCTTGAATTATACTTTTTATAAATTAAACTTGTATTTGCTATAAGTTAAATTGTTTAAGTCCTTTAAATGAGAGATGATGACCCCATCAAAACTGAAATTGTATTTAGAGGAACTGTAGGAATGTATTTATGGGAGTAATGTACTACAGAATCATTATATAATATGCATAACAGAATCAGATGAATGCTGGGCTTCAGCATTCTCAGTGGTCATATGTTCTACTGTGCGGAGGTCGGCATTTGAATAAAGACCTCCACAACTTGTCTGGGTGCAACTGGTAAGGTGATTTTATTATGAAAGTAGCAGGGCAACTGAACAGCTTAAAGGGAGGAACAGAAGGGCACAAAAGAGCACTACACAAAAATGGCTCCAGCCTTAAATAATGTGGGTAAGGAAGGCACTAGAACAGAAGGTGGGGTTTAGGCGGAGCATGCAAATCACAACCAATCATAGGAAACAGGGGCTGAACATAACCATATATGGTACTGTGTCAAATATCATAGAATCATAGAATAGGTAGGGTTGGAAGAGACCTCCAAGATCATCAAGTCCAACCCCTGATCCAACTCCATTTACTATATCATGGCACTAAGGGCCACGTCCAATCTCTTTTTAAAAACCTCCAGGGATGGTGAATCCACCACCTCTCTGGGTAGGCCGTTCCAATGCCTGATAACCCTCTCTGTAAAGAATTTTTTCCTAACATCTAACCTAAACCTCCCCTGGCAGAGCTTGAGCCCATGTCCCCTTGTCCTATTGTTGGTTGCCCGGGAGAAGAGACCAACCCCCGCCTGGCTATAACCTCCCTTCAGGTAGTTGAAGAGAGTGATGAGGTCGCCTCTAAGCCTTCTCTTCTCCAGACTAAACAACCCCAGCTCCCTCAGCCTCTCCTCATAGGACTTGTGCTCAAGTCCCTTCACCAGCCTCGTTGCTCTTCTCTGGACCCGCTCCAGCACCTCAATGTCCTTCCTGAACTGAGGGGCCCAGAGCTGAACACAATACTCAAGGTGTGGCCTCACCAATGCAGAGTACAGGGGAAGGATCACTTCCCTGCTCCTGCTGGCCACACTGTTCCTGATGCAGGCCAGGATGCCATTGGCCAATGAAGGAACAGAACATACATACATTATATGTAGAATACAATACAACAACTTATATGCAAAATCTATGATTTCCTTAACACCTTTTTAGACCACCACACTACTGTACTCCCTGTACTCTTCTTTCTTCATGTGATGTCCTGCAGAGGAAAATGTGCTTTTGAGGGGAGACTAGAGGATGATTTTTGTTCCTTGGCTATTCTATGGAACTGTTCCACCCAGCCACTTAATTAAAATAAGGCATGGAAGAAACTAAGCTCATGTGTATGTTTTCAATTAGCGGGGGATTTTTTTGTGGTTGTTTTTGTTTTTTTTTTGGTCAGTGAATGAAATCTCAATTATTCTAACCACAGATGCAAAATTCTGTCTTTTTTACTGTTATTTGTTTCAAGATGAAGGAAAGACTGCTTGAGGAGGGTAAATGTGATTTTGTGAGGCTGCTTGACAACTGTTAATAGAGATATAATCTTTTTTTTCTGTTATAGGTGAAATTTTGAATTATAGAGAACATACTGAATTAGTTCACAGTTTGCAAGGTGCTTGCAGTTCGTCATACCTCATTAAATGGGGAGTGGGAGAAACCTGCCAGAACTCTGCTTACATATGGATGGCACTGCAGAAGTACAACTAATGCAAGGTGTCATGGTTTGAAAAGGCCCAAAATCCAATTCTGATTCCTAGCCCCCCACCCACATCTCAACCCCATGTGAGATGGGTTTTCCAGACAAAAACACGAGACTCAATATGGGGGGAAGGAATATATTACAAAGACTATACACGTGAATAAATACTATAATACATTACAAACAATCTTAACTCTATATCTATCTCTACCATGACAATAATATTTACAATGGGCCAAATCTCTTCTCCCTCCAAATAAAAGTCCAGGAGAGAAGAAGAAGAAAAAGACCCCTTCCAGTCTCTGAGCAACAGGTCTCTCTCTAGGCAGCAGGCTTTCTTCTTCTCTTTCAGGTAGCAGAAGCAGTTGCTGGCTCTCTGCCAGCACACACGAGGGGGTCTTCTAAGCCTCTCTCGGCCCCCGTCTTCAAACGGGGGTCTTTCCGTGGACTACGTAACCCCAGACAAGGTCGTTCCACCACGGTCATATCACGAAGCACGGGGGTCTTCGTGACAGTCTGGTATCTTCAGGGGAAATCAAGCCCCTGTGCAGAGCTCCCATGCTCTGCCTCAAAGATGGCTGCCAGCTTCTCTGAAGCTGGAGCAGGGGGGGCCAAGGTCACCCCCCACACACACACATTCCTTCGGCCGTCCTGGCTTATCTCTCAGGAGGCCATGAGCTTCTTAGCTCCTCTCAGCAGTGCATACTGCACTTTAGGACTCCTCTCAGTCCACCACCCCCTCCTCTTTCTCAGAGGGGTCTCTAGTGAGTTTGGAGGTTTTGGTTTGTCCAGTTCTTACCCTCCGAAACTCTCTTCCTGCTGCTGGCTCGGGTCTCTTGTCTTGTTGCTGCTTTTCCTTCTCCTCAGACACCTCTGTGTCTGTCTTAGCTGCATACCGGCTTCTGCTGCTTCTTATCTGCTTGGCCTTCTGCCACTGCTCCGGTACGCTGTTGTCTCTGCTGCTGCTCCCAGCGTCTCCCACTGCTCCTACCGGGAGAAATTCTCCCAGCTCTTAGCCACAGGCACTCAGCCCAGTTCTGAGTCCCTGCAGCCCCCCAACCGGGGGCTGGGGGGGGCAGAGGCCCCCAAGGGGCCGGAGCCCCTTCTCCTCGTGGCCTCTACAACATGGCCACCTCTTCTTCTCCCAAGGTACTACTTCTTCTTTTCCGGTCTCCAGAGATATGTTTATATTTTGCAGGAGCACTGATTGGTCAAGCCCCAAGGGTCACCACCCCCTGGGGGTTACCACTTTCAGCTTCAGGGGAAAAACTTGGTTCAAACCACTACAAAGGGCACAGATTTCCTAAAATCAGCTGCTGACAGCGGTATGAATCATACCGCTCAGTTTTGTTACAGATGGTGGTGTACTATGCTGAGGTCTCACACTGACCTGAGCGGGACTACTCATTCTTTGTGCAAATCACAGATACAAAACTGAGCACTTAAATTTACTGGGTGACAAATATATGAAAGTGTATTATTTGTGCGGATATTTGAATGTTTAGCCTGATGAAAACAAGCAGCATGATGTGTCTGTTCCTTCGTTTTGTCTGTTGGAAGTGTTTGGTAGTTTATATATGTTTCAATTCTTTCATCTACCACTTCCCAGAGATTAGGTTCTGAGCTGTGAATATTTTTTTTCCCTTAAGAGATTTTAAGGTGGATTTTATGACTTTAATATTTTTCCTAGCATTTTGAATTATTCCGAGGTTAGCTTTTTTAAAAAAAACTTTCCTTCCTCTCTTTTTTTCCCCCCAGGTTACCTTGGTTCTTCCTACATGTTTTGTGCATTTTCTGTGGTTTTGCTTCATATTAGTTTATCATAAATCTTGAATTTCTGTGTTTCTTTCACTTATTCTTGCCCTGTAAACTGTTAAAGAGAATATTTTTCAATGACATCTGAACTGCAGTTTCAGAAAACATCAGAAACATAATTTTTGAAAAAAAACTTGTGTGTTTTAATTAGGAATAAAGCTGAGTCTGCAAATAAGAATGAAAGAACAGAAGTGTTTCTAGAATCTCCTTTCTCTTCTGTTTTTCAAAAAGTAAACCTCTTTTACATAAAGAATTATCATCATCATGGCTAGGCTTCGCAAACGAAGATTTGGGAAGGGCTCTACCCACGTTTGTTACAAGCGCGCTGGTGGCTAAAAAGGCCAATGCGAGATAGACAAGTCTGACTGCAAAAGGCACAGCAGAAAGACTCCTTAGGTGGTATATTCTGCAAGGCACTGTGTTGTCTTTTCTTCTCGAGAGTGATCCTGCGTGCTTTCTCAAAAGCATCAGCAGCGTTATAGATAGTGGGTCTCCAGACCTCCCTATTGGAGGCCAGAGTAGACCAGTTATGTTGATCAATGTGGCCAAGGCTGAGATGTTGTTTCAGGGAGTCCTTGTATCTTCTCTTCAGGGCTCCTCTCATGCAGCAGCCGGTGGCAAGTTCACCATAAAGCAAGATCTTAGAACCTCCTTTTCTTCACACTATTTTCTTTTCTTGTGTGGATTGATAGGAGGTGGTTGATTCTTGTGTTCAGCAGATGATATTCACTTCACTGGCAGAATTCCTCATAAGAATACTGATTTGTTTTGTTTTGTTTTCAGTGCAATGAAACTTCCTTCTTTTTTGAAGCACGTAACAAGGTCACCTGCAAACATCTCTGGAAATGCTGTGTAGAGCATCATACCTTTTTCAGGTAAGTGATACAGAAACTATGATTTCCTTAGGGCCACTACACTGAATGAGAACCTTATTATACCTACAGGGTGTTGTAACACAAGCTTACTGTCTGGAAACAGAATTTTACTCGTGGTTATAGAATGCTCTTAAAAACCATCGCTTTCCCTTTTCTTACAATGATGTTAAACAGTGATTTTAAAATAGGGCAATTTGGTGGTTTCTTTTATCTTAGCATTCTTTTAAAAACAATATTTCAGGTTGCACAGAGTAGGCTTTAACAGAAGTGTCCACAAATGTACATGGCGGGATTAAGCTGCCATATAGATTTTTACATATTTATCCGTCAAATTTTCTGTAGCATCATGTCCATAATGTTTTACTTACTTATTGGAGCGTATAAAAATCTTCCCAATAGTGCACATCTCAAAGCACTTTATTTTACTGTTGCAAAAACATCAAGAGAAATGTGCAATGTCTAATTAGGAACCAGTTGATGGTGTGCTTGGGGTTGACTTTAGCAGTGCTGTAAAGGAATAAGCTCAGAATCCCTCCTTCAGTCTCACTACTGTGGCATGGTCGGTTTCCCGCTTCTGTGAAATATTAAGTGAAAGGCTGCTGGTGCCAGCAGTTTACACTTGGCTTTGAAATAAAAAGGTATGTAGTCAAAAGAGGAGGGGATAAACAGGTAGCTTTGGGAGACTCTCAGCCCATAAGAGTCTGTCTGGAGGTAGGGATGAAGAGGAACTTGCAGAAAATAATATTTTTTTGAGTCAAAAGTTTGTATTCTCTTTTCTTGAATTGGGAAGGGAACCATAATTGAGACCTAGCTATGTAATTTACTCTGTTGTTTTATTTTTCAAACTACACAGAGTGCCAGAGAATGAATCAAACTCTCTGTCAAGAAAAGTCAGCAAGTTTGGATCCATAGGTTATAAACATCGGTACAGGTGAATTTATGTAATTGTTTAAAATTCAGTTCATTCTTTCTTCATTCATTCTTTTCTCCTCTTTCCTTCCAATGGAAGAAAACCCCACCCAGACTATGACCCAAAGCAGTTCTGAAGACAAAGCATGAATCAGGGCCATTTTAACAGGCTCTCCGTGAGAGTCTGGCAGTTTGGGGACAAATGTTTCTTATTCTCCAGATCCCCAGAACTGGTTAAGGTCCATAGTCAAAGTGAGAGCAGCCTTGGAAGTGCTTGAAATCAGTGTCTCCCTATAGGTCCTGAAATTATGTTCAAATCCTAAAGGGATTTTCCTGACAAGTGGGGAATACCAAAACAAGGGTCTATCTTTTCTGAGTGGAATAAGTGGCAAAACTGGGTAAATGTTCAAGCCTATAAGCCATGAAAGATGCTGTAAACTTCAGCCTAAGAGTGTATAGGGAGCACTGTTTTCACCATCACTCAAGAAATACATAGATGGAATACACGGATCATAATGAGTAAGGCTGATAATCATTAGTTAGGCAGATCTTTATCACTGCCTCTTAGGAAGACTTTTGTGACAGCAAGGAAACCCCTAGTTTCTCCAGCAGCTCCTGGATTGCACTTAGGATCTGTGGTAGGTACTAATAGCTGTGTATAATAGTAGCTCTTTTACACTTGCTCTCAGTCAATCAGAATTCATAGTCAGCTGTTACCCTTGGATGTAAGATCTTGCTTGTAGTGCCAGTTCTGAGTCTGAGCTCATGTGACTGAATCTGGTCTTCAAAAAGGATCACTGTATGTATTCTGTAATCCAGACTATTTGGGTTATCACATTATCTGGCATGATCCAGCTTCTCCTTACTGCAGATAACAGGGAAATGATTGTACAGCCTTTTGGGTTTCTTAGTTGTATCCTGACCTGCATTACCCCATTTGTAACAGTGGATAGAAGTTCATGGAAGTACTGCAGATGAACTTTCTCTGTTGGACCATTTCAGCAGATTGGAGCAGGGCATTGGTATTGGGGAGGAGAAAGCTTTGAACTGACAAGAACTTTCCAATAAATTAAAAAGAAAACATGCCATGAAACATTTACCTATGTCTGAGCTATCGCTCTTGGTGGTGCACTTAGATTAATCTTATTTTTTTAATAAGTTTCCAGGATGGCCTATGATATGGCTTGCCATGCTGGTATGATGGGCATTACTGACAGCTGTGCTTATAATCTTAGTTTTATCTAGAAAACACTAAAGTGTGTATTTCCCTTCTAGTATGAAGTCTTCCCTGTATTGCTGCAGTGATTTCTTGTGGAGTCCCCCTGAACTGAGTGGGTGTTCTAGTAGATGGGGGTTGTTAATGAGAAATCAGTGCAGTAGTTACAGCATTTTTATGTTATTTGAGAATCTTTTCTTTGCTTTGCGTATCCATCAGCTTTGACTGTCTTCCCTCTTTTCCTTTGGACTCTGTTGTAGCATGGAAAGCAGTGACAATCTTGTGTATCTGTATACATCGTTAGCTTAAAGCAGAAACCATAATCCCACCATTTGTCTGTGTATGTGTGGGGACCATAATATTATCTTTTGGCTGGTCTTTTAGGTTTTGGTGTGGTATTTTAGGTTTTTTTTTGTTGTTGTTTGTTTTGTTTTTCTTTTTGTTTGTTTTTTTGTTGTTGTTGCTGCTGTTGTTTGGGGGATCTTTTCTTTTTTTGTGTGTGGGTGGGGTTTTTTAATCTTCTAGGTACTTCTCATTATATGGAAGACAGTTTTCAGGAAAACAATTTCCTTGTCTTAAGATCAGATACTTTGGAAGTATGAGGGGGTGTGGAAGATCCTATTCCCAGATGTTTTGTTAAATCTGCTTCTGCTATTTGCAAGACTGTCATGGTTGCAAAACTTAGAAGTTGAGCAGAAGCGCTTTCTGGCTAACTTGAGAGCATCCATTAAAATGAATACAAAAAGAAAAAAAGCATTACTGTGATGTAGTGTTAGAATTCGGGAATTTTTGTCCTTTAATTCTTTTACAAGTTTGAGAAGATAAAATTTCTGCAGTGCTGACTACATAGGTAGGGCTACTGGTGAAAATACAATCAGTATTTAATGGAGTCTATTCACATAACTCAGGAAGTCTCCATATGTAAAACCTGTATGGCTGCTTAGTACTTTCTAGTACAGTGCTGTTACTTCAAAATCATGAAACTGCAGATGTCAAGGGAGATAATAGTAAAACTTACTTCTCTTGTGTAGTAAGCTTCCAGAAGCAAAGATGGAGTTTTGGGGAGGAATATGAGACCTATTTTACGTTTTTTTGATGAACACTATATTCTGCTTAGTCACATGGAGAGGAACATTAAAATGAGCATAAAATAGTGTATTTAAACTTAATAGCTTATTTAAGTTGTGCAGTGAAGAAGAGCCTTACTGTAGGTGGGAATCAGGACTTTTACTCAATTTATTATGGTATGGGTCTGGGCTAGTGAGAGTCCTTTATTACAGTTTGTTTTGCAGTCTTTGAGGTTGTCATTCTACATGACAGAGAAGTATCCCCTTACTGGCTGGAACTGAACAGTATTAAATATGTTTTCCTGAGGTGAAAACTTACAGAAAGAATTCAGGAAGAAATCAAACTACTTAAGAAAGTCATACGTTAGAATATTCTAAGTTAGACAAGCTCACGCTATCTTGACCTACTCCTAACAAACGAACATTTTGTTTTAGTTGCTTAACTCTTCTTGAAAATGCAAAATATAGGAGAGGTTGGTCTAATCTCTTGATGATTTTGCCAACAACTGATTCAACCCAAAATTCAGGGTAGTGCTACTCAGCAGAACCAGAGGTGGGATGAATAGCTAACAAAACATACTACCCAAAACCCATACAGCTTTTTTCCAGTCTAAACATCCTCTATTTCTTTGATAACTTTTCCAGATGTTTTCCCATGACTTTTTTTGTGTTTTCAAGTGGCAAAACATCTTTGCGAATGACCAGAGACCCCTCAGTGCAGCTCCCGCGGCCTGACCAAAGCATTGAAAGAAGTCGCAGCAAGACTTACCCCAAAAGAACACAACAAACAGGTAAGTCTTTGTCTGATCAGCCTGTGGAGAGATGTCTTATTTGATCTTGGGTTCATTTTGTCTTTTACAGTTTGCTCAGAACTGTTGCAGTGTCCTCAAAGATCTCTCAGAATGGATTGTGTCTTTTGCCTTGGGTCGGTGTTTATATCTAAACCTGACAGGGTATAAAAACTCCAGTTGCTGTGGCTTAAAGATGATAAAACCCCATGTGTGTAGGTCTAACATAAAGGCTGAAAGGGAAATTTGAAAACAGGCATTGAGAACATGTTTCTTTTCAGGAGACCTGTCTCTCACAAAAGAATTTTATACCTGTGTGTCTTGGTTAGTATCCCCTTATTCAGGCTGCTTGACCCAAGGCGTCTTTCTTGTCCATCCTTTTCTCAGTTCAAGAGTAGTATCCCTTTACTTTGATATTAAGTGGAACAGAAGTTAGTGCCACACCCTTGGCATTTTTAACGTCTCAAATGTCTGAGCTGGAAACCTATTCTGCATGCTGAAGATGTCAGGGAAAGCTGGAAATTTTTACAGGTGTTAGAGGAAGTGTATAAGATTAAGAATGGATCACAGGAGTCATGCGTAGAATAATGGATGTTTCCTGGAATTTAAGGAAGCTGCAGTTCTGCATGTGATTACATGGGTATGCTCAGCTTCATCTGTGACAGAAGTCACACGCATTTTAGTCGAACTTGTGCATGGAGTCAAGTGTATGTGTCTTAGCTGTTTGAGAAAAAACTTGTCTGGGCTTTAAAATATAAAAAATATTTATCTTTGTTATGGGTTAATATGCCCCTATAAACTTTTGAGAATCTATTTTTGAATAGAGAGTAGACATACATCCCTGGAAACCTCCCATGTTTATTCTGGATGCTGTCTTTTGACTCAAAAACAAAGCTGGTGTATTCTGCCTTTTAGCTGCAGTGGGTCTTGAAATGTAACAAAATTAAAAAAGCATAGTCCTTGGAAAATAGAAACAGTATGCAACATTTTTCTTTTTAATTTTTATTTTATTTTATTTAGTTTAGTGTGAAAAGAGAAGGCTTGATTTGCTTTCTGATTCTGTTATCTTTTTGTTGTGTCTGCCAATGTAAGTGAGTGCCTCAAAGGTCAAGAAGCCATATACCCTTGAACTTAGTGACTTAGACTTTTGTTCATCTGGACTGTCCCATTCTTAGGCTAGGAGTTCAAGCCAAACAGCTTTTCCCACCCCATTAGTCCTCAGTTCTGTTGTGTGGAAATTTGTGTGGCTACTGAGAGGTAAAATTGTCAGGTAAAACTCAGTCCTTAAATTGAAAATAATGTTTGCCTTAGCACAGGCAGCAAAAGTCAGTCTGTATTGCTGCAAGGGTGTGCCTCTGTTTTGCTTTTGTGTGTGTTGTGCTTGTTCATTTTTTTTTTCAGTCCCTTTGACTGGAATTGAGAGGAAAACTGAAATCCTCCTGTAGCCTCTTCTGCTGATTTAACATGATGCAGAATTCTGTGTTTGCTCTTCTGGTGAATTTAAATACTTTGTTTCACTTTAAAATAAAACAGCTGCTTTGTCACCATTTTACTTATATGTAGTTGTGTAATCTCTATCACTCACCTGGATGTTTTGCTTTTAGTTCAACTTAATTGATTACCCATGTGTTCAAGTGTGCAGTTATTTTCCACTAAGGCAGGTGCATTATCTCAAATGTTTGTTTTATTTCCCACTCAAAATATGGGCTAAAGGAACAGAGCTATGTCATTCAAATTCCATCTTTCCATATAAATAAGCATACTTTGTCATCTTTATTTTTCCATTTTGTCTTTGGCTATTCACAGTGCTAAACCCTGAATACTCTTTCTCCATTTAAACAAGGTTTTCAGAAGCTGAACGAAGACTAATGCTACTTCTCCTCCCTGTGTCAGAAAATGTGACAATCTATTGCACGTCTAGGAAGGATAAATCCTTCCCTTTTCACCGAAAATTTGTTTTCGATATAGCGAAGTCCATTTCACACAATAAATCAAGACTGTCTGATACATTTTAAACATCACTTGCTTAAATATATTAACCCAATGTAGATTTTATTTTACCGACTAATTTTTATCTTGGAAATTACCCTGATGGTGTAATAATTTTTATGAGTTACATAGAAGTTTCCCTGACTGAAATGTTTGAGAGAATAATATTGTCGGAGGGGTATGGACAGATGCTCACAGATCATTACGATCGGCAAAATGTCAGCTTTATTAGAAGAAAGACATCTTTTATACTGCTTATGACACTCAGACGTGATTCTTTTTCACATTACATTGGATACATAAGGAAAACATACTTTGTTGTACGGTGCTAATTGGATCACAGCAGGTGTCCATAAAACTTGTTTACCTGCCAAAAAACTCCTCCTTCACCTTGGCACGAGGCCTGCAGCCATATTAGTTGTGTAGTATCTTTTACTGTCTGCACTCAGCCATGCCAAGGCAAAACTCACAGAAATGCAATACAAATTGTTCACGCACAATCTGTATTCTCCCAACAGAATAATATGACATTTCTTTTTAAAATAAATATCCCTCTTGCCATAATGAGGTTCTGCAGGTGGGTATTGTTGATGGTTAGTCCTTTGTTCTTGATGTTTCTTTTCTGGTATGGGATAACAGGATTAAATATGCCTTGTTCAACATTTTAAACAGGGTGATTTTAGTTTTGCATGTATTATATATTTCTTGAGGTATTTTCTGTGAAATGCCACTTGAATTTTTTTTTCCCCAAATCCAGTAACAACTTACAAATTGCTCCTTCTTCCACCTTTACTGAGCTCAGCATCTTTCCTCACTTGCCTCTTGACTTTTTTTCTCTTTTCTTAAGACTGCAAAATAAAGTATATCAAAGGCTTCCATTCTGCAGGCAGTTCAATTAGCCTTTCTGGTTTTGGTTGTTTTTTTTCTTGTCTGTTGTACAAGTAATGGGACTGGCCACAGCAGTGTTTTTGGGGACAATTACAACAAATGCATGACTGTAATATATGCAACTGGCACTGCCTCCATCATATAAATGTGTATGAAGTGCTAAAGCTTCCAACCTCTGGCATCTCATTAAAATCTTTTCCCTTTTTTCTTTTCATATACATGTTCTGGTGTTATAAACAGTAGTATGGTATGTGCTTTTTGTATATATTCTCTCTGTCACCTGAAGGCTGAGGTTTAGCTATCTTTTGCAGAGCTAAGCATTAAACTTTTCTTGTCCTTTTGGTGCATTAAAGTATGCTAAACAAATTAGGACTGCAGCCACTTGGTGAACCCTGGGTTAAGAGTTTGAGTAGGTGCCAAGATAATGATAAAAAGTATTATTTGTATTTTCAGTAAAAATATTTGGCTTTAACAGAGGGATTGAATACTGTGAACAGATAGAAACTATCTTGTATGAAAGCCAGTGCTATTGATTGCTTCCCCTGATAGCATAGGCAATGCTATCAGCATTGCTTCAGTTTGGCTTCAGCATGGCAGATTATTTTCCTAGAATCCAGATTACAGTGGTTTAAAATGCAGTAACCTCCATTTTGTCACTTGCTTAATACATTTTGTATCTCAGTTGCTCTAGGGTTAGTTGAAAAATCAGATCAGGAAACTTCAATGGCTGTGCTTTTATATCAGTTTTAGACTATGTTTTTTTGTTAGTGCATAGGGGTTTTTTTGCTGTATGTTCAGGCTGATGTTCAAGTTGGTGTTCAGTTAGAGAAGGGTTTTTTGGTTTGTTCTGTAAAGTCATATGAGTGAAATATGTGTAACTTGTTTCATTTACTTTTCTCCCCGTTTCATCTGAAAAAGAATTACAGTTACATTTTGCTGTAATTGCAAACCATAAACTCAAACAGGATCTCTCGTTATTCTGCCTTACCCTCTTAGGGCAAGGCTGATAGTGTTCAGCTTTCCCAACAGTGTACAGGATGAAAACATTCATTATTCTTTTGACCGAATGCTGGACATGAAAAGCTTCTTGTGAACATCCTCTCAGGACAAACACTGATGTGGCCAGATCTATTGCCACGGGCCTGAGTTTATTCAGCAATGGAAAACACATTGCTTAGGGTTTGTTGTTGTTTGGTAGCTGAGGACTTGATTTGTCCCTGCCTTGTACTCTGGGTATTTGTATAAACTGGTGTAAAAAGTGCTACCATTCTGATTTAAAAGCCAAGTGGAGAACTGGGTGTGGATATTACAATTACAGTACTGTCTGTATTATAATAATCCCTGAGCAATCACTGGCAGTCACAGTCTCTGCTCTGACTAACACACGTACTGCCACATATGCCTGTCATTACCCTGCTTCACCAGCCTCAGTCATGGTAGGTAGAACTGTTGGTCTGGCACAGTCAAAGTCATAAATCTTTTCCCAGAAAATTTTGAGATTGGGTTTGAAAGTTAAATTTTTAGGAAATACATCTTGGGATGGTTTCATCTGTTTACTTATTTATTAACTTCGAGCTTTACACTTCAAAGTGTAATTAATTTAAATCCCTGGTTTTATAAAAGGATGGATGTGACAACTTCTGCATTTCATATGTGGGGTGTGAGATAAGCAAACCCTTGAGGCTACAGGCTTGGAAACTGACACGAAAAATAAACATTATCACAGAGTAGGCTGTGCAAGTCCATTCATTTTTACAGGCTCTTAGTAGCACATGGTGCAAAGCATGGGCTCCTACTGCATGTTTTCCGTTTGATCACACCATCTTTGCTCTCATGACTAGGTTTAAATACAAACAGATAACGTCAGTTAAATGGCTTTAGTTGATAAGAAACAGGCATGACAAGCTAACTAGCTTGACCGACTGCTATGGTTTTGGACACTTGAGTTTTTAAAAATGTAATAGTTTGCTTGAATTGAATGCACAAATCAGCACTAAGATGGCCGTAAAAGGGAACTGAAGTGTATGCATTCACCTTATTGGGAAAGTTCAGTGCAGACAATACTGAGAGTACCTTAGCTGACCAAAGGTAAACAACCAGGAAAACCTGCTACAAATGAAATGTTTGAGATTTCTGGGTATCTAAGGTATTTTGGAGAGGCCTATTACCTTGGCATGCAAGAAACAGTGATATAGATAAGTTATTCCCATGGTGTTAGCATTTGGACAGTTTTTCTGGAATCCGTTCTTTTAATATTAAGTAATCTATATCATACATGAGTTGGTAGAACAATACTGTAGTTAGTAAAAGGTACAACAGGTGGTACATACTGTGAGTGTGGACAGAAAGCTCCTGATCGAGCTTGTTATTCATGCAAAAGAATTGTACAGCAAGAGCTTTCTTTTTTTAAAAAATCAAATCCAAGGTCCTTATTGTGGATAACAGTGATATCAAACACAGCTAATATGAGATCTTGAATTGGTAGAAATGTATTTCGTATTTCTGGGTAGGTTGTGCCTGTGTATGACAGTCACTGGTATGTTGTCTTTGTTTTTTGTCTCTTTGGTTTTCCCTCAAGTAAATACTTGTTAAAATAATAGAATAGAAACCAACAATGAGAAGCACCTTCTTCTTTTTTGAGGACTTACTAGAGCTGGGTGCTCCAAAAGCTGATGTACTGAAATTAGTTCTTTTGTTTGAAAAAGTCATCTCTTTGCTGATTTCAATACTTTTGTGGACCATGCTATTATAGCGGGTTATTTTTTCTTGTGGATTTGATGGCCTGGGAAGGGCAAGCTAAATGTATCTAGGTGGAAAAAAATATGGTGAGAAGTCCTGAAATATCCTTGTAGTTTAACTGTGACCTAGTTAATTTTCATTTCATTACCAGTACCTTCCTTAAAAGTTGGAAGTTTCTACTTCCTGTTCTTATCTGCTTTATATTTATTTATTTGTGATTTTTGGCTGTAGACATTCTTCCGTTTTTAGAGGTCAGAGGAAGAATTATTGGGAAGTGACATCGTAGCACCAGTAGGAGCAAACCTGTACTCCCTTCACACCTTTCTTCTCATTGTTGACTGAGCAAGGAATTCCTTTCTGTTGACTATGGCGTAATATCCCTTTGAGAACAACATCTTTACACTTTGTCTTACTTGGAAGAGTAATGAATGCATCCCATGTTAAACTTTCTTGTGATCTGGTACCATTAAAATTAAGGATGAGACACAAAAGTGTGATCCTTATACATCCTTAGCAAGTAGAGCATACACCAGATATCTTGTGTGTCATTTTATTTCTCATGCTGCCCTGTGTTCAGTATGTTATTATGCTGAATAGATATGCAAGCATTTATGCTACAGGACTCTTCTATTTTTGGCTCTTTTTTCAGGTTCTAAAAACATGAGCCAGATTACAACAAATGGGGAAAATGAAGGAACCACCAAAATTATTGCACCTTCTCCAGTGAAAAGGTACGTATACCAGCATTTCCTTACAGCTTTTGAGAGATTTCATATTGCGTTGGATAGAGGAACACATTTAGTAATATTTAGTAACAGTTTATCCTGCCCTTGAGTTCAGCACCATCTGATGTGCTGTCAAAGGTCAGAAAGTGTTGCCCAGTAATTGATTTTGTAAAACCCTGATCTTCTGATGAATGTGGAACAGGGTTTGGTAACCGTAAATCAGCACAAGTTAATGGGAAGGCAGACAGTTCCAGGTTTAAATAGGAAAAAACTGTTAATGACCCAAAGGGCACTGGTCAGGATAGTCCTGTGAAGTCCTACTAGTCCCTTGCCTGGGAGCTGTGGGCTGGCTGTCAGAGCCCTCAGGGCAGGGGTCTTCTGTCACTGAACTAGGCAAGCTGTGCTTGGGGTGTGGGGGCAGGGAGGAGCTTAGCACGGACTCTCCTCCAGCACTGCTGTTAATCTGGCAGTTGATTAGCCATTACACTGTTCAATTCCTACAAAACTCATGAGTGTTTCTTCCTGATCCATAGAAGTAGTGATTTGCCAGGGCTTCTCTGAATTTGTGTGGTCTGCTGTGTCTAATTATTAGTGCTGAAGTGTACATTTCTAATTATTAGGCATATTTGAAAGCAAGAGGTAAGGCTCAGTTCCAGAAAGGAGTTTATTTACCCACCATTAATTTTAGGTGGAATTTGTTTGCCTGAATCAGAAAAACAGTGATCTGACAAAAGAATGAGTCAAAAACTCAGCACCTCACTTTTTTATTTAGTTACCTGAATGTCTGTCTCTGCATCCTCAGTAACCCTGACAGTTTTGGGGTTGTTTTTTCTTTGTTTGTTTGTTTTGTTTTTCTTTGGTTTTTTTTTGTTTGGTTTTTTGTTTGTTTGTGGGTTTCCTTTGGTTTTTGATTTTTTTGTTTCCTTTTTTTTTTTTAACTGTGTAACTTTGGACTTGTCTCTGCAATGAAGGTATGGGCTTCACAGGCTAGGTATCTGGACTGACGTCTGAAGAAGGGTCTAAAATATTTACTGCAAAATACTTAGTGAATAGAGTTTTCTATTGCCTAATATTTAGAACAGTTGACCTCCAGAAGAAGAGTTGAGTTTAATTTCTTCCTCATTTTGAGGGAAATTGGATCCAATACTCTTAGAAAATAATGATTATAGGTTAAAAGAAAGTTTATGATTTTCATGCTGAAGGGAGGCCACTGAGCAGAAAACAATACAGAGGTATATAAATAAAGGGAGGGCATAAAGAGGACAGAGCCGGTCTCTTTCCAGTGGTGCCCAGTGACAAAGCCAGAGGTGACGGGCACAAACTGAAACACAGGAGGTTCCCTATGAACATCAGAAAACACTTTTTTCCTTATGAAGATGACTAAGTACTGGCACAGGCTGCCCAGAGATGTGGTGGAATCTCCGTTCTTGGAGAAAATTCAGCAGTTGTCTGGGAATAGTCCTGTACAATTGAATCTGTGTGGTCCTGCTGGAGCAGGCAGTTGGACCAGATTATATCCAGAGGATCCTGACAGTCCACCATTCTGTTGTTCTGGGATTTTTTAGGAGAGTGAAAGATACAGAGCAAGAGGTACCATTATTCTGCAGTGCAGAGATGACCATATTGGGAGGCATGGGAGCCCTTCACTACAGCTTGTGCTCCAAATGCTGTGTATGAATTTTTACCAATGAACTGTTAAAAAGAAATGGGTAGGCAGGCTATAGAGGAAGAAACAAAATAAGGGGCTCTCAACATGGCAGCTTTAAAGTTTCTGGGTTTAGTTTCTTACCTTGACAGTCTAAAAGCAATTCATAGGCAAATTCTTACTGAGTCATGGTTTTTAACAGTGTTAGTCACTTCCACCAAAAAAATAAGTGTTGGAAGATGTTTTTCTTTTAGAATTTGATTTGTTTTTCTCTGTGTCTCTGCCTGACCATGTAAAACACCTTTCAGGTCTGCCAGGCTTAGTATATGTGACAACCAGCACACAAAATTTGTAAAGCAAATTTGGTTGTTTGCTTCATCCTGTGTAATTCTCACATTAGTTGTCAATCATGTTTGCAAAGCATTTTTAATCAGCTCTCACAAGCTGAGTTTTCATAGTTTAACTGTATCTCATTCACTGTTGAGATATGTTGTTGATTGAACATGCATACATTGTATAAATTCAAAATAAACCATAAAAAAGCCCCAACAACAGTAATCTCACATGAAATTCAGATCCTAACCTTTTCAGATACTTTGAGTGAACTCAGTACCTTTTGCAATTGCATCCCTGGATATACTACTAGTATCTAAAGAGCTGCCATGCTCTAGCTTTCTATCTGTAAAGGGTGTGTCTGCTCCAAATGAATAATGGCCTAGGAATTTAATGCAATAAATTCACCTCCCAGGTAATTTCTCTGTCTCTTTTTTAAGATTTGAAAACAGCGTTCACATTTCTTTGAGTTCAGTATCAGTATTGTTCAGTAGTTCATGCTGTGCAAAATCAATTGCTTTTTGCAATACTGGACTGAGGCATATTTGCCTGAGTTACTTGCTTTGTCTGTAGTAAGCACATATTTCTGAGCCTGGGAACAGATTGTATGCACCGATGAGTCAATAATTAGTGGATGCAGTATTAAGAAAATGATTTACCTGATAAGGTGTAATTTATTTTCCTGCTGACTCTCTGTAGCTTTGCATTTTGTTCACTATGTGAGAATTAAATGATTAACTCAGTGACCTGTAGTTACCAAAGGCTAAGGTTAAAAGTGGATTAGTGAGTTAAGTAGCCATGATTCCTTCATAAAGCTGAGTCTGTCACCTCCTGCTCTGGGCAAAGAACTCCAGCTTATATCTTCTTCTCGGTAAGCAACTGTAAATCTTTCATTTTTTTCTGCTTGAGTTGCACTTTGTAATGATATGATGTATTAATGCTTGTACTGGGCTGCTGTCAGTAATAATTCCTGAACACCTTAGTGAAAATTAATGTGGCCGCCCAGTTCTGTATCGGGTGAACTGCTTGTTCTTGTAGAGAGATGGTGATTCAGGAGAACCATGCCTGGCCATTGGCAAGGACATGGGTGCAAAAGCATGCGCCGGCTAAAAGCCATTCTCCAACATTTGAAGTGGCAGTCCATCTGGGAGCATTAATGGGTTAGAAGCTGTGAAACTGGACACTGTGAGAATTATGGCAGTACAGGAAGAATTGGAGCATCCTGCTGTTTTTGCCCCCATCTCCCATAATTACTAGAGACTGGTTATAAAGACTGATAAATCTCTCAAGCTGGTGACTACCTTGACTGTCCTGGTACATCACCTTTCAGCAGTCAGTGAAGTCAGCCCTTCCACATTGTTAGTTAAAACAAAAGGAAAACATAAGGCTTTACTGGCAGGGAATGAGAAGAATATGCCGCTCAGTGAAACTATGAGCCTGTGGTCTGTCATTCTTTGAATAGTTACTACCCCATTCCTTTGTTGCTCCCATCGTAAAGCAGGTACTGTAGACCTGGAAAAATGGTAGAGAAATATGAATAAGGATAATCAGAGGTATGTGATGACTCCTATACTGGGAGAGATGAAATAGTCTGTGATTCTTTCACTTGGAAAAGAGATTAGACAGTTGTTAAAAATGTATATTAAATAAATATGGTGTTCAATTTGTGATTACAGAATCATCATTCATAGGGCTGCCTTTTTTTTTTCTTTCTATAATCACAGAAACAGTGAGCAACACAGGGTGGAAGTTTTGAGCCAGGTGGAAGTTTTGAAATAAAATTAAATAATTGTTTATACCACAGTTAAATACTGGAGCATACTTCTACCAGGCACTATTTATGCCAAAAATTAAAAAAATATTCAAGAGGGTGTTTAAGTAAATCCATGGAAGAAAGTTTCAGCAACAGCTATGTGAAATAAAAAGCAGATAAAGCCTCTGATTCAATAATCTGTTAACTGCATATTGTGGAAGACTGTGAGAGCATATCGTGTGTTTGCCTTATTGTTAGACTACTTGCCTAAATGTCTGTTCTTGTTTATTCTGAGACAACACTGACCATTTTTCTGACTCAGTGCCACTATAATTATAAACTTGTAGAGCTGATTTTTTTTTCCCCTTATGATCTCTCTTTCTAGGAGATATTTTTCAACATAGCACTTGTTTGCCCTCTTTCACACAGCAGACAAATAACTAAATGCTGGGGTGGGTCTCTGTAATGACTGTATGCCTTTAAAATTAATTTTTAAGAGGTCAGTGTGAGAGAAAATGTGATTGTATGTTGTGGGTTTTAAAAATATATATATATATATATATATACACACTTTTATTTAGCTTGAAAAAGATGAAAAATGAAAACAGTCCAGAAGCCCAAAGAAATAAATCAAGTGCTCCATGGGAGGAAAATGGTCCACAGAGGTAAGGCAGGGCATGATGTCTTGGATATTGTACCATGGTAAATATGCCATAGCTGTAGGCTGAAGGATATTAATATAATATATTAGTGTGTTATTGGGATCATCATAAATCTGTATTGCATGTAAGTAGATAGGTTCTGTCATGGATATATAAACAATTAAAAATGAGGAAAATATGTGTAGGAGGAGGTGATCACTGAACGAAAATCACCAGCAGCTTTCCACAGAGGTGTCTTTTGGGGCACCATGATAATTTACCTTTTGTGCTCCTTCTGTAAACATCAGTAGTTTTCATAGTAAAGACAAAGCAGTGTGTAAATACTCTCTTGATAGGATAGACCTTTTTTTTTTGTTGTTTTGTTATTTTTAAAGAAGAAGTGGTGTCATCTTGTCACATTTTGGCTCTAGTGCTTAAATTGCGGTCAGGACAGCAAGTTTGATTCTGCAGGAGTCAAAGAAGGATAGGATTGAGTTTTAGCATGTCCATGCATTCTAAAAGACTATGCAGTTTTAGACACATAAACAGACTCTATGTTGCACGGAGGGTTTTGACAGCTTCGAATAATAATTCTCATTGAGATGAACTGTGGGAACTTTTCACCTGTGCAGAGCAGTGCTGTAATCAGCTGTCTGCAGAATTAGGTGAAGAAGAATGTATCCAATTTGGATGGGCAGAGGCTGTAAGGAAAGCAAAAAAAATACATTAGGTGGAACTTTGTGAGAATTATCATCTTTTTGCCACACAGTTGTGAAAAGGACTAAGTGGTGTTAGATACAGATATGTGGTTGAGTTTAACATACTTCCTCCAAAAAGTGGCAGAATGTCAGTAGACCACCTTGGTGACAGGTGACATGACAGAGTGACATATACTCCATCCCAGGCTCAGTTACACTCTTGGAAAAGGCCCTTACACTTCTTTGGGAAAGTATCACAGGGTAATCTACTCATGCAGTTGATAGTCTATATGTAATTTGTAACTACCCAACATATTGGCTCCCACTTAGGCTAAAGCACATAACCTGGGCTTAAAGCACCTCCACACCCTTAGCAGAGGTTTGTGTGGATGAATGGCAGAGAGACAGAACTAAAATTATTTCATGTTCCTAAGCATCAGCTCTGTGATGAAAATATATGTCATGACAGGAACATGGGAAGTTTTCATGCTTATATCCATAGAAAACATAAAGAATAGAGGTGCAGAAAACATAAAGAATCGAGACGCATTTGAATACCTAGCTCTGGGTTGGGGTAAGTCGTACTAAAGCAAAGAAATTTTATTATGCTAAAAGAACATGGATACACTTGGATCTACATTTTGTAAGCTTAGATCTGTTGGCTTGGCAATGCTAAGAGGTCTCTCTCCTACAGTTACAAGAGAAACATATTTACTGCTAGGTAGCAGTGCCATCTGTATTTACATAGCACACACACACACACACTCAAAAGCAGGTATAGCTGAATATGTACACGTGGGTGTGAGCCTTCTTGTTTTTGTAAGCTGGATATCAGTTAACTGGCCTATCTGTCCTGGAAATTTTAAAGCTGACTGTTTGCTCTTCCTTTTTAACCTTAGTGGACTGTATAATTCCCCCAATGACCGCAACAAATCACCAAAGTTTCCTTACTCTCACCGAAGGAACCCATCAGGTGGCAGCGAGAATGAGTCTGGGCAACCAGTGCGGAGGAGGTAAGAGCCTGGGATTAGTTACTGTGAGCTTTTCACTGTAGAAACTTGAGGTCCTGCATGTCTGTGTTCAGCTCTTGGAGGCACAGCTGGGTCCTGGGAAAAGGGGTATTCAAGGGGCCAGTCAAATAAAAAAACCTGAGTGAGGTTGTTTGCTTGTGTACTGTTCTGAGTATTCGGAAAAATGATGTTAAAAATATGAGAAATTTCATTATTGGCATGTACAAAATCCTTTCAGTTGCTGCAGCTGTTCTTGCTTGGTGAACAAAAGGACTGATGGATGTCCCTTTCTTGACAATGAGCTTCCAACACAGAGCATTGTTTTAAGTACATTGCTTTGCTTTAACTACCACAAGGATTAAATGAATGAGCCATAATGCTGTTTTCAGCAGTCCCATGTGTGACTTTACATTAGAGAGGAAGCCAACAAAAATACCACTGTGTAATACTTAGTGTGTTTTCAATTGGTACATGCTGAATTGAATAATTTAGAGAAGTAAAATTAAATGAGTGGAGACTCTATGGGTGCTGTGAGTCCTTGAGTATGTCCAAAATGCAAATTACAGGGACAGTTCTGAAGTGATGCAGTATTTAGAGACTGTGCGTTACCTGGGATGATTTGTCCTGTTGAGAAGCTGCTTTCATTGCTGAGGCACCCTGCTGTGATCCGTTGTGAAGTATAAGCAAGCATAGATACTGTGCCACATTCTTTACAGTCTTCTAAGACTGCCTTATGAGCAGCACCTGAGAATTACATCTCCTTTTGACAGCTCAGAAATGATTACCTGGCTTTTAAAGCCAGGGTTTGCAAAGGGGTCTCTGACAATACAGCTGTATTGATTAGGAAATCTAGTTTGATATGGGGCTTTTATGCTGGTCAAGTTTCTGAACTACTCCGGGCCTTTTTATGTGCCATTAGTTGCCTGAAAGAGGAGGGAAGAGACTCGACGATGTATGGTTACTGATCTGAGGTACATCAGTGTAGTTCTGTCTAAGGCAATAGAGTTGATTTATCCTGTTGGACAGAGCCCTCATAGGTGTTGATAGCAATGTCTTTCCCAAATGGATTTTGTTGTGGTTTCACCCCAGCCAGCAACCAAACCCCATGCAGCCCCTCACTCACACCACCACCAGTATGACTGGGGAGAGAGCTGGAAGGGTAAAAGCTGGAAAACTCATGGGTTGAGATAAAGACAATTTAACAGGGAAAGCAAAAGCTGCGCACACAAGCCAAGCAAAACAAGGAATTAATTCACTGCTTGCCATGGACAGGCAGGTGCTCAGCCATCTCCAGGAAGGCAGGGCCCCATCGCGTGTAAAGGTTACTTGGGAAGACAAACACCATCACTTCAAATGTCCTTCTTCCCCCCACATTATATACTGAGCATGATGTCATATGGTCTACAATGTCCCTTTGGTCTATTGGAGTCACCTGTCCCAACTGTGTCTCCTCCCAATCTCCCATGCACCCCCAGCCCCCTTGCCAGCGTGGCAGTATGAAAAACAGAAAAGGCCTTGGCTCTGTGTAAGCCCTGTTCAGCAATAACAAAAATACCTCTGTATTATCAACTCTGTGTTCAGCACAAATCCAAAACATAGCCCCATACCAGCCACTCAGAAGAAAACTAACTCAACCTCAGTCAAGTGCAGAACAGGTTGTCTGATGCATTGCTACCTTAGTTGTCACAAGCACTTGTTTGGCTTTGTAAAAACAAAAGACTAGAGATATACAGTGCAAAACTGCCTCGTGCCAAGAAAAAAATGTGTTTGTGCACTATGCAACAGGATTTTTTTAAGATGCAAAGTCTTTATCATATGGGATTTGTGTTTGGCTGATCTAGTCAGTGGACAGGCAGTCATGCCAATAGCAAGTTTGCTCTTGGACAAAATGTTTTTCAAAGTCTTATCTCATATGTGAGACTGTGAAGACTAACAATAGTAGGTAGATTCTAACTTAATTATGTCTTCCTGAATCATGGTTTTATTCATGCACTTTCCTTTTCCAGCTGTTTAATAACAATAGCTTTGTTGTTTATGCACTTTTTACTGGAGTTAAGAGAAAAACATCAGACTTGCTATGTTGGAAACAGTAGGAAACTCTAAAGGCTAGTATGCTATGCATATCCTTGCAAGTCAGGGGTTTGCAGTGAGAGCTTCAGTGGGACTATGCCTTCGCAACTTATTGTTAAGGCGTCCTGAAAAATTCAAAAAAGCACATGCCCTATTTTCTATGCTGAAAAACAAACAAACAAAAAAACCACAAAAACCCAAAAAAAGGAAACAAAAAACTTGGTAAAATTTTGGGTTTTTTTTAAAGATGGTTGGTTTTGTGTATTTTTATTAAGTAACTCAATGGTATTTCATTAAAACTTCCTTAATGCCCTAGGAAAAATCAAAACAGTGGTGAAGATTCAGATTTAAAGCAAAGGAGATGGTAAATATATGATCTATAGCAGCTGTGAAATTATAGTTAAGGTACTGATCATATTTTGGTTGACTGCATCCCCTCCTTTCCTTCCTTCTCCTCAATCTTCTTAATTGTTTAAAAGGTTTGTTGTGTTATGCCCATTTCATTTTTTCTTTCCTATCCTACTTTTGCTAAAAAGCTCTGTGGCATAGCCTCCTCACAGCTCAGTCTTGCAAGCTACCTTTGATCATTGTTACTATGCTATGCTACAGGAAGTTTGTGAAAGTTTACTAAAGGCTTGTCTGCAACTTGAAAGTTGATTCCAGAAGTTTTAGCTTTCAGATTTTCAACTGCAGATTTGTTTTTAATTCTTCAGCCTCTCTATCCTTTTTTAATTAATCTGATTTGAAAGCAAGTATGCTATAATTTGAGATGAATTGTCCTGCAAAAGGCAGGTGCAAAGGCATATGTAACTCCTCACTGTCTTCTCACAGTTTTGCACATTTTTTTCTGACTTTTTTCTTAAGCTTTTCTTTTTTCCTCTCCCCTGTTCAGTCTTGACTGATTGTCACATTCCAGACAAAATGCTGCTGTGAATTCAGGTGTGGCCTTCAACAGCTTCAGTTTTTGACAGATTTTTGCCGTATCAGCCTGTCATGACTGTTCTGTGCTTCTCCTTGCTCCTGTGCTCCTACTCACACTGCCAGAATAAGGAGACAGTGAGTGCATTTCAATGTCAGGGGCTGCTGAAACTTATGAAGGAGGGGAGGCACTTGCAGGATGTGATTCACTGCTGAAGCAAGGGAAAGGAGCTCTGGCAGAGATATAAACGTCTCGGAGACAATCACAGGAAGTTTGTATTTATTGTATCAGATAACAGATTATTTTTTTTAAGAAGGTTACCATTACAAGCTGCCAGTGGTAGTCCTGTGACAGATGTCCAGCATATAAAACTGAGAAGATTTAGTTAAGCACCTCAGGTGAAAAACCCCAGTGCTCAGAAGTGACCTCTTCCCAAAGGCTGTTCTTACTGTATTACAATACAAATGCACAAGTTTGTTATTGTATATTGCAACAGACCTTCTCCACTTCCTCAGAATTTGGCAACTGTACTCTCATTGTAGTCAGAAATAGACTGCACCAGAATGTGAGCTTTCTCTGCCAGCTGTTTCTTTGAAATACCAAATCCTGCAACACACCTCAACTCCCCAAGCCCTCTCCTGGACTGTATTTGCTGTGTCTCTTGCCAAACTGACTATGCCTTCCTTCCTGCTCCTTGTATCAGACCATAAAGGTATACTACCTACAAAATATTAAATATATTTCATGACCAAGGAAAAAAGGGAAAAAAGGATGGAAGGTACTTTGTAATTGTCAGAGATCAGGATGATCTCATGTGTTCTTGCATTTGGCTTAGGAAAGCACCTTTGTTTCTGTTTTTGGTATTTTGTTCAATTCAATAAAAGCTGGTGTTTAATATTCAGTGAAAGATAATATTCTGACAGCAACCGTGAGCAGCTGCCACTCAGCTGACAGCTCAGCAGCCCTTCTGTCTCCTCACAAGTGCTTTCCTGACAGGGAACACAAGGTGGTTTGATATGTAGTATCCAAAAAGTGGATCAGATTTCCATTCCTGAAAAGCTAGAGAAAGGGCTTATCTTGAATTTGATCAAATAGTTTCTTTTATCTTGCACTTTGGCTGCCATGCTGTGATTTTTGATGCTTTGGTACATTATGGGATAAATTGCTTAAATCACAGTAAGAAAATACTTGTGGAAGAAAAGAATCATGCTAATGACCTGGAGGTGTCAAAGAACACTGTTGCTTGAATGACTTATTAATATTGAAATTAGTGGAATATTTATTAAATATCTGATAAGATTGGGGTGGAGAAAAGTATACTTTTTTTGCAATTCTAGGGCATTTATTGCTCTTAACTCTTTTATTGTGCTGGAGTGAATCTTTTCAGCACCACCTTTTGATCTTCTTTCTTCTTTTGGGGTTACAATTTTCTATAGTTACACACATCTTTTTCTATCCCCACTTTAAGCTTCACTCAGAAACATGTATATTTTACCTGGGAACCTGGCTATCCTCACCCTCTTGGTGCCTTTAGATTGTGAGCATGAAATTTGGGAATGGGGAGAGGTTTCTGCTTCTCCTCTGGGGAAATGTCACTTTCCCAAGCTTATTCCCTTCAGACAAGCTGGGTTGAATTGATTTTCCTAGGCTTTAGTTGTCCTATTATTCTAAGACATTCTGTAGTTTGACTAATCTGTCTCCTTATGAAAGTGGCTTACCAAAGAGCAAAAGAAAAGCCAGGAACAGACATTCTGTTTTCCATTGCATGGACCAGCACCAATTCTAACTTCTGAAATTCTAAATCCTAGACTGGCTCATGTTAATATCAGTCAACTTTCCGCATTAATTAACTGGGCTGTTAGTGTAGCAGAGAAACATGTTTTTCTTTGGAGGTACTCATAGAATCAAAGAATTGTTTAGGTTGGAAAAGACTTCTAAGATCATCAAATCTGACCATTCAGAGACCATCATCACACTAAAGAACGAATGGTCCGAACCAGGTTTTGGTGAGAGTACCAGTTTTTAGGACCTAGCCCAGTGGTACAGTAACAGCGTCCTGGTTTCTAGGACCAAAGCCGTGACAGCTGGTCTGTCTGCTCCAAAATGCAATCAAGGATTTAAGGGTCTCAGATAGTAGTTCCCAAGCCTTTCTCTCTACCGAGAGCAGTTTGCCTGTAGGTAGTTCAGCCTGTTCCACCAGTCTTTTTCAGTAATAATTAGAACCATAAAAGTCACCTTACCATTTGAAGCTCTGCAGTCAGAGGTAATACAGAAGTAACTGTTTTATTTTGTTTTCCTCACGTGATGCACCATTTTTGTAGCTGTGCATCAGGTCATCCCAAAGCTGGGCTGGTACTCACCAGTCTGTGTGTACACTTCAGCCCTCTGTATTTATAAAGATCTGTGGTGTTTTGTCCATACTGCCTGACACTTGAAAAATGTGAACTTTAACTAGAGGCCAGGTGGAAGTTGAGGTGGTGAACAGAAAAAGACAGATCTGTGAGCTTTCTGTTTTGCTGGCAAAACCAGAATTGCCATATCATTTCTGTTGGGCTATATCACTATATGCAAGAAGAAAAGAGCCAGAATGCATACAGTTTAAAGATAAGATATTTCGTACCTCAAAGAAACATACTGCTGTGGCATATCCACAAAGAATGCTGAGAGATAAAATAAATTAAAAAAACCCCAAAACAGTGAAATAATTGAAAATGAAATAGCATGCACTTGACACTACACTTTGGGTGCACTACTTTTGAAGCAGTTGTTCACAATTAATTAATGAGAAGCAGATAATATGACTTGCAGGTGTAGACAAGCCCTCTTGAGTCTTTTAATTCTAATTTTGCTAGTAATGTCATTGCAGAGTTGCTCTTTCCCTGTTTAGCACTGCAATAATTTTGATGTTTGTAGATAAATTCATCCTGAGATGTTTCTTTTCTCTTCTCCAGATCTCAGTCTCGCTGTAACACCAGCAGTGGCAGCGAATCAGAAAATTCCAGCAGGGAACATCGGAAGAAGAGAAACAGGTGACCTTTATATACTTTAGACATGGGGACATGAAACACAAACAAATGGAGATGAACTTTTCTCAGATAAACCTAGAAAGATGGAATCTAACATGTTTTATATGCATAGAGTCCTCCTGAGGCAGCTTAAGGTCTTTTTCTGAATAAGAGCAGTAATTGCCAAAACACAGGTATCATAGATGTATGCAATGAATACCTGCTCTCCTGGAAAGAACTTGGAAAGAACTCAGTAATGAACCACAAAATCAAATATGGGGCACACTTACAAAAGACTTGCAATATAAATGCAAATAAAGCAGATAATATCTTGATAATGATATTTTCAGCATATACTTCAATATATATTCAAGTAAATTCAAGTGCAGATTTACAGAAAAAAAGCTTTTGAGGAGAAGTAAAAATAGGTTTAATGGATCTGAAACTTACGTTGTTTTTAAATGCATGCATTTAATTGTATAATTATTTTATTTTCCAGAATGTGAAGTGTGGGCCTTAACCCAAAATGTGTACAGTGTCAACTTTTAACAGGATAGTAGTTCATATCAAGTGATGCTAACAAGTCCTGTTTTATATATTCTATTTTTTTTGTTGCTGATATGAAAAAGATGGCAAAGCAAGTGATTTCCTTTAAATTCTCTATAAGCTGTATCATTCATGTTGCACTGGAGATAACATCATTGGAGAGTTATTTATGAAAATATATTTTTAAAAAGCACATAGAATTTCTTCATATTGCATAAATACAGTCTAAAATTGGACAAAAGAAGAATTGTTAAAGGCAAATTTTCTGTGAAGCTGCCTGCATGAGATGCCATTATTTCTTCTTGTCTTACATGCATTACTGTGAGTAATAAATGATTTTCAGATCTTTGGAAGCTCTTGGTAATAATGGTATGCTGGATAGTGCTGCAGGCAAAAAATAATTGTGATATTCAAAGGGGCTGGTATAAAGCATATCTGAGACATAAGATTTCTTTTCAGTTTACTTAAATTAGAGCACAATCTTGTAAGGTATTTGGCTAACAATAACCTAGTGCGCATGGAAGATTTGTTTTCCAGCTGAAGTTTGAATGAAATGCTGAGTGTAGTTTCAGTGATCAGTGTTAAATGGTATTTTGTATTCCTTTCTCTTAGAACACACTTGCCAGGTTTTTTTTATCCAGTGAAACTCTTTGTGTAGGGAGCTCCACAAGCAAGTGAAAGAAGAGACTGACCACAAGAATGTTTTAAGAACTTCTTGCAGTATAAAGACTGAATTTTGAGAAGGGTTAGGTACTGCTTATCCTTTTTTGAAGAATAAAAGGACCTTTACCAACCCTTCCTCACTTCATGGAAAAACACTTAAAATTAAAAAGAAAAAAAATCAATTTATGTGAATTGTTTCCAAGTTTTTCACATTTTCAGAAATTAAGATACAGTAGAAATGTTAATGTTGCAGCATTTCTTCCTCTTAGCTGATCACTTAATACCAGACCATATAAAAATATGACCAGATAAAAAGTCATTATCAGTGTTAAATTAAAGAAATACTAAATGAACTTTAAATCTGAGACTCGTGCCTTGTAATCAGGTGCAGGAAATCAACTACTCATAATGAATTTCTGCATTTTGTTAGCAGCCACAGCAGGAATATAACAAGCTGAAAGGGCAGAGGCACTGAGTAGCTTTCCTGTTGGCAGAGGTGAGCCAGCCCTAACAGGGTGAAATGGGACACTATAATGAGCCTTGCAACTGCTAGTAATCAAGTTTTACCTGTTGCATAGATTAATATAATTTATTTCCCAGGTCAATAATCAGGTCTCTGGCACAAGCAGGAATAAAATTGTTTTGTTTTATTGGAATGCAATGAGTGAGTACTCACCTTAACCAAAGGAATCTGCTTCTGATCACAGAAGAATAGAATATATTGTTCACATGATAAGAGATCACTGTGAACTATTTGTCAGAAGAAAACACATTATCAGAGAAGGACAGAAATGTAAGTGAGAACTTCTGAAGGTACAACACTGGAAAAATGTTAGGGAGAAACTCTTTACTTGACGTCAATCAGTCTTTGAGGTTTCATTCCATCATATGAGTGTTTTATCCAAGGCAGATATTCATAAGAAAGTGAAGAAAAACCTATTACGAGCATATTTTAATCATAGAAGAAACGCATTTGCTTTTTTAATGCTGTTGTCAAAATTTATTTTGTGGAGAAAAACATAATAAAGTTTTACATAATAAAAATAAAATTTTATTTTACATAATAAAATGTACTCTGAAGAATAGTTTCCTGCTTGACTACACTTAGAAGATCCATCTGATTAGAATCACAGAGTGACTGAATGGTTGAGTCTGGCAGGGACCTCTGGATGTCATCTGGTCCAGCCACCTGATCCAGGTGCTCAGAACCATTGCCAGATGGCTTTTGAGTATCTCCAAGGAGGGAAACTCCACCACCTCCCTGAGCAACCTGTGTCAGTGCTCGGTCACCCTCACAGGGAAAAGGAGTTTACTGATGTTCAGGTGGAGATCCTGTGTTTCAGTGTGTGCCCATCACGTCTGGTCACTGGGCACAACTGAATTGAGCCTGGATTCGTCCTCTTTGCACCTGCTTTCAGGTGTTTATATTCATGGATGAGATCTCCCTAAACCCTCTCTTTTCCAGTTGTCTGAACATCCCCAGTTGTCTCAGCCTTTCCTCATGAGAGATTCCTCTATCGTCTTGGTGACCCTTTGCAGGACTCTCTCTATTGTGTCCATGTCTGTCTTGTCCTGGAGAGCCCAGAGCTGGACCAGCACTCCCAGTGTGGCCTCACCAGTGTTGACTAGAGGGGAAGGATCACCTCGTTTGATCTGCTGGCAATAATTTGCTCAATGCAACCCAGGGTCCAATTCAGCTTTTTGGTTGCAAGAGCATGTTGCTGGCTCATGTTCAACTTGCTGTCCACTGGGACTCTCAGGTTCTTCTCTGCAAAGCTGCTTTCCATCCAGGCTCTTCCTACTGGCTTTGACATTTCTGGTGGGATTCAATTCCATTTGAGCTTTGGCTTTCTTAACCTCATCTCCACATGCTCACACAATGTTTCTGTTTCCCAGTTCCTGTTCTGTTCTTCAGTTCCTCCCACATGACCTGCTCCTGCTTTCACCCTCTGTGGATTTTCTTTTTGTGTTTGAGTTTTGCCAGGAACTCCTTGTTCACCTATGCAGGCCTCCAGGCGTTTTTACCTGACTTCTGACTCACTGGGATGGGGCTGCTTTTGAGCTTGGAGGGGATGATCCTTGAAGATTAACCAGCTTTCTTGGACCCCTTTTACCTCTAGGACTTTATGCTGTGGGACTTGTCCAAGGAGATCTTTGCAGAGGCCAGAGCCTCCTCTTCTGAAGTCCAGTGATGTGATCTTACTTTTTGCCCTCCTCTCAGCGTCCTGAATTCCACCATCTCTTGGTCTCTGCAGCCAAGGCTGTCTTTGACCTTCACAGCCCCTATAAGCCCCTTGTTGTTGTACATTGTATCTAAAAAACAACGTTATGCTTAAATATTTTGAATGGCATGTCAAGAATCAAGTCTTCAGAATTGCTTAAGAGAATTTTTCATTGCATAAATGTACTTGCTACCATATCACCTGAAATGGGAAAAAACCCCATCTGTAAGACAACAAATGAGTGATGATAGTCATAGGACTTTCCATTTTATCATCAAGTCTTCCTGCAAACAATGCCTAATTTGTTACTGTGATAGCTATTAATCTCAACTGGATTTATTTCACGTGCCAGGAATATGCGAAATATGTCACTGGGATAGCATATTTCTGTATAGGCATAAATCAATGTGTTCCCTTGTGAGATCAAATAGTGAGAAGAATGAAAGGAAAGTTGTAATGGGCTTTGAGAATAAGGGCAACACTTTTTATTCAGAAGTATCTTTAAATATAAATTTAGTGTTTGAGTTAAATTTCTTTCAGGGTTTTTTGTCATTTCTATCGCTAAAAAGCAAAAAAAAATTGCCCCCAAATTATTAGAATTTGATAATTGTATCTGAATAATGTATTTTATGTGGAGATTGTGTCACCTTGGTCATCCTTTACCTTGTTAAATGTGAGCACAGTGCCTTTATTTGCATCAGCAAAAGGGATGTTTTGTTTCTTCATGTCTCCTCTATAGTAGGGTTCTGCTGTGGTACTTCAAGTGTGCTGTCACTGCTTGTTTTAATAGCTGCCATGTTACTTTATGTATTTAGATTTTCAATATTTTGCTCAAATTGAAGAGATGAAAACCGGTGATGAACACTGTTGTATGGTTCAACAAGTAGAAGAAAGGAGGCAAAATAGAAATATGAAGTACTTGGGGATAAATGAATGCATTGCTAAGGACTGTGCTTGCCATGCATCAGTAGATGCTGATCTACAGGATTAGTAGAATGAACCTGAGCAGAAATTATGTGGAACTTCCTCAGCAAGAGGTCATTTCTGGGAAGTGTGGTTTCAAGCACAGAGGTGCAGGATCTCATGTGTTCTGTGTTGGAGTATGGACCTCATGCTCTGCTGCTCTGTGTGGGTTTCTTGAGAAGAAGGAGTAGTTCTGGGTTATTTTATGGCAAACATTTGAGTATCTCCTTCAGAGCACAGCTGTCTACTTGACCTGTTAGGAGTTGGTGTTTGGGAGAGGTGGCAAACCCACTACCCACAGCAGGAGTGCTGGTCTGGCAGCTGCAAGTTTTCTTTTTGTGCAAGTGACTGCTGTATATGGGAGGCAGTTGGTTGTGTTTATACCATGTGGAATGATTGGTGTCTCCGCAAATTGGAGTATTTGGGACGAAAATCACAATTCATTACTTGTTGCTGTGTGAGTTCCTCTACTAAATCCTGAGATAGAAGTTTATGTTAATACCTGTCACCAGATAACAGATTTTAAAAGATTGCTTAGAAATTAAAATCTGAGGTTGCAGTCTTCTCCAGATGCTTTGTACCACTTGATAGAGTTGTGGCTGTTTATAGTAGTTGGAGATCCAGCTCAAAATTTATTATGTATATGAGAGAAGATCTGATTAAAGGAAAAGCAGCAGCCAGTGTAGCCAGTTTAACCTGACACAATTCAAAACTCAAAGAGAAAAGTACATCTGTACTTTACTTACAATAACATGCTTTGCATTTCCTGTGTCTGCAGTGTAATCCCCTTATCTTTGTCGGCTTCTTTGTTTGTTTTACCTGTTAGTCTTTCCATTTTTTGTTAAGCTCCTCTAGTTTCTTCACTATGCGAGTTGTACCATCCTATCAGACAATCCACTTTCAGGTGATATTTTCCAGGGTTGTTTTGAAATCCCTTTAAATTCACTGCTGTGGCGAAGCATATCCATTTGTTCCATCTTAGAACTTCATCCCACCACTCATATGTGCAACTCCAAAACTGTGAGAATCATCTGTGGAACTTTGAATTGTCAAACACTGGCAAGCTGGCTGTCCTGACTGATTGTGGCATTGTAGGACTACATCAAGCTAACCAATGTGCTGGGTTGATAGGATTTTGCAATGTATTCCAATAATGAATTCATGTATTTAAAAAAAAAAGGAAAACAAATTAAAAATAAAAGGCATAGCATATTGTTTAGATGCCCACAGAGACAGGGACCAAAGCTTCAGAGGGTGGTGCAAAAGGAGTGCCATGGGAGATCTGCATTCATCCTGGGCTTTGTTGCAGGTCAGGATGAAGGGACTGCCTCTTCTGAGTGGGAACTCACCAAGAGCTTCAGGGGATTTTCTCTTGGATCGTAGGAAGGTGCATGCTGCAGCAAAGTATTTGGGAAAGTTGTAGTAGTAGAGCCTTGTGTCATGATGTGGGTCTTCCACTTGCTGTAGATGAGGTGGGCTGTAAAAAGGGAAAAAAATTCTAGATGTTTGGCTTGGGCTGGGAAGAAGGATTCAAGTTGTGAGCCTGTTCTTAAAGTCATGGATGATTTCTTTTTTGGCTTATGCTGTTTCTAAACAACAAATCAGTCAGTTTTCTTTTATACAGTTCTTACATTTTAATGTAATTTAGGAACATTAGTTAAAATTTAGCAAGACGAAAAGTTAAAGTACGGCATTGCAGGAGCTGGATTTTTTTGGGGAAAAAAAGTAATCCCAATTGCTTCTCAGAGCATCCTGCATCAGAGACCTCAGACTAAACTCCCGGTACTTGCTTTGCAGATTACGGCAAGAGAATGATATGGTTGACTCAGCTCCTCAGTGGGAAGCTGTGCTGCGGCGACAGAAGGGGAAAACCCAGGCAGATCCAAACTACCGGCGATCTAGGCACAGATCTCGATCGTATGTAACCTTTGCACCCTTTGGTGTGAAAATTAAGGCTGCTGTAGCATGTTAAAAAGCAGGAGGTGTGTCTCCAGCGTGGTGGTGGCCCTCAGCTGCTGAGGAACAGAGATTTTTACATGGCTCTGCTCTCACATTAGCAGATTTGTCTTCGTGGTCAAACTGCCTTTGTTTAGTGATTTGAATTTCAGGGCACAAATAATGCAGGAAGGGCTTTGTAACAGAGGAACTCTCTCCATCACCTTGAAAGAAGTCCTGGATGGTTTTGTGGCTCATTGAGCATTGGTTCTGTAATGAAGACAGTGATTCCCCACTTCTAGGCAGCAGGTCTGTGAAAGCATTCAGGTTTTATGTGGTAGCTGCAAATATTTGCATGAAATACATGCACACTTGTTTAATCATATGAGAGCATCTGCTGATGTTTCCATGTCAAATTACCATTGACAAGCAGCAGTCAGTGATACATTGCGTCCTGATGTCAGGATTTCCACAATGGAGCTGTACTGCTAGAGAGTGCCATTCCTGCTGACAGCCAGTTTAAAATGGTGAAGTTACTAGCTTTTAAAATTAATTTTCCAAAACTAATGAAAATGTTGGTTTCTTTAATTCACATTTTTCTTCTAATGGCATGGATTTGGTGTGTAAACATGGTGTGTTTGTGTCCAGTCTAATCTGCCATCCCGGCAACCATCTGAAGCAGCACCAACTCCAGCGTGTCTGGCGGCAGGGCAGGCAGGGCAGGGCAAGTCAAGGCCAGTGATGTTGAAGAGTTTGGGGAGAGCAGCTATGAGGCACTGGGAGATGCAGGCAAGAGAGAGCAGTCTTTGTATCCCCACTCTCTCTGACTCCTAACATGAATATTTTACCAGTCCTGATGCTGATGGTGTAATGTGTGACCTCTGTAACACATCCCTTGGGTACTTCCCAATGATATTTTTTCTTAAATTTACCTTTCATGTTCAGACTTAACAAGAAACACTGTATAATTTCATTCATACCAATTGAAACTGTTATCTTGGCTGAAGTTTCCGGTATTAAAATCCACTTGAGTTCTGTTTTCAGTTGTCTGTTTTGCTAAAACTCATTTCTGTCTCCAGTTCTGTAGCGTAGAGTTTTAATTCTTGATGAGAAATAGAATTTACCATTGCAATTCCAAATACTGGAATTTCTACTTTAATGGGGTTTGTACAGACTTGTTCACTTTCAACTGCACAAAAGTCATGTGTTATTAGGTGTAATTGTACAATGATACCTTACTAAAAATCAGGAATATTAAAGCTCACTTGCATGGAATCTACAAAATACAGTTGATTAAATTTGATTTCCATTTCTTTTATTGTTTACAGAAGGTGCTGTAAACTAGGAAATATACTCAGTTAATAATGGTTTGATTAAATTTATAGTCAACTTTTCTTTTTCCCCACAGGCCAAGTAAATGTCATTGTTTGGACAGCACGGGTTCCCTCTTGTGGTTAACTTGACTTATGAAATGGCTTTTATTTCCCAGCAAGTGACAGTCTGAGTTATATTTAAACTACTATTAGCAAAAACCAGAAATGTGAAGTATCTTACTTAACAATCAAATGTCCTAGAGGAAGCAAAGAAATAAGGAAATCCGGGAGATTTTGGATGGTTTCTTATTTCTTTTCATTACTGTTTTAATGATTCCTGTGTTCCTCTTTTTTATCTCAACCTCCAGTTTAAAAAAAACCCAAAAACAAAAAACCAAACAAACCCTCCATGAAATAAGCCCAAATCTCTTAAGTATGGCAGAGGTCCTTCACATATGCAAGTAGGAACTAAAAAAAGTGAAATAGGAATTCCTTTCAAAGTTCTTTGAAAAAAGGTTAGTAAAAGGCATTTAACTGTTAACCTGTAGTAGGTTATAAGAGAATTTATTTGATTTAGTTTGGCTCAACTCTTTGTTTACATGACTGGATACAGATTAATAATGGCCCATCTTCGCGAACGAAGATTTGGGGAAAGGTCTTTTACCTTTCCAGCCTGTGCAATGGATTTTTTAGGTGAGACACAGCCTGCGCTGAACTGAGCCCACCCTTTAATCCTAAGGTTCATCTGCCGGGGCCAAGCAAGCTTGGACAATGGCAGTGAGGTCCTCAGGACGTAGGTTTGATTAGAGTGTCCTTCTCATAGATACAGATTAGAGAAAAAGGAAATATGATTCTCTAGGGTATAGTTTTTTTGGTTTTAAATGCTGTCATATCGTCATTTCAATGTGCACATTTCAAAATTGATACAAACCCTTCACTTTTAGCAGTACAGATAAGACTTTCACATTAAGTTCATTATTGCACCGAGCTTAACTAGAAGTTTACTCTGGAAGTGTGAAGTAGTGGCTGAAATATTTGTTACTGCACCTGGCACAGTGCGTTTCATTTCTTTGATAATGAGTAATATTAGTCATTGGTGGTGGTGGTGGTGAGGTGGTGTCTCCTTGGTCTCCAGAATAAAAATATTAGACAAGAATTTGACCTTTCTTTCTCCTAAAGGAATCAGCAAATGGAGAGAGCTCCCACTTCTAGTTCCACAGGGTTTGTTTTCAAGAGTTCATGTAAAACATCAGTGTAGCCAAAGGGCTTTTTCTAATTAAGAAGAATGGCCATAAAATTCCATGGCTACTTAAATGTACCATTGGTGACTCAACCCAAAAGATTAATAGGGGTGCAGATGCAGACGTAAAAAATAATGTAGACCTTATTAATATGAAGAGCTGTTCCAGCTTGTGCACACAAAATAAAAAAATAAACAAAAAACCCCCATGGTGTTCATCCTTTACTGAGAATTCCTGTTAGATTTCTTGTGCATTAGAGAAACTGATTAGCATACAAATTGTCCAGAAGGTATTGATTCAGATACTGAGATAGGACAATCTGAGTCCCATATATCACAACTGTGATTCTAACAGAATTCACAGTAAAAAGATGAAAACAATGTGAAAGGGGGATTGTGATCTGGCTTTAAAGATTTAACAAAAGGATTGCTTTGTTTTGGGCTCTTAAGAACCACACAAACATTAATTTCCTGTGCAGTATATGCAATATCTACATTTCATCTTACATTTCACCTCTCTTTTTGTAAGCTTTCCATCATTCTCTTTCATAGGAGCCTTTGGAAAGCACATACTTTAATTAAGTTAGTTTTTCTGTATCGTATTTCTTTATATTCTTTGGTATGGAGTTAACCTGAATAAATACTGTAAGATTATGCTAGTATGGTAACACTCCTTAAACAGATGGGAAAATAACTAATTACAGGATGCAAAATCTAAAAGCAGTTTTCTCTGGCGAGTCACTGTATTTAGCTTTTTTTTTTTTCCATGGGATGCCATTTGCTAAACTGGTATTATAGAGCAAAGACTTTCTTATTAGTGTAGTTGTAGGGATGGACAAAGGGAAGATGGCAGAGATCACAGAGTAAAGTGCTTGGAACTGGTCACAGAAAGCAGCAGGCACAGGTCCTAGAAAATGAAGAAATGAAGATGACTTTTTATTTCATCACTTTCCACGATGCCCCAGAAATTAATATTTTTTACTATAGATGAGGCTTCACATGGTATTTGGTGATACTTGTGACATCCTGAACTGCTGTATTTCCATGAATAAGTAAAAGCCATGAGCCGATCAAATGAGTCAGTGGTGTGGACAATACCCTGCTTTGTGTGGATCCTGGATTTGGGATTGACTTTAAGGCTTTGCTTCCTCGGGCAAACTAGGGCTTGTAAGCATTACAAAGCCTCCCTGGAGAAACTGGCATTTTCAGAGAGCTTTCTCCTCCCCCACTGCCAGATTATTCAGCCTCAGAAGAGGATGCCTATCTTCCCAGCCCCAGGGTGAATGCAGGGTTTGCAGCTGCTATTTTGTGAGCAAGAGGCTTCGTGGAAGGAGAAATCAGTTTGAAACTGAGGGGTGAAAAAGGCTGTTAAATGCCACTGCAGGGCAAAACACTGCATCAGGGAGTTAAAAACAGTGTGGACAGATGTAAGAAGCAGAAATAAATGAAAAACTGAAGAAGGAGAGGTAGAAGTGAAAATCGGAGAAAACTAAACAGCCCCTTGTGGCTGTGGCTGTTGCCATCATGAGGACCTGAGGAACTGGAGAGGACAGCAGTCCTTTAAGGACCAGGGCGAATGTGTCATGCTGCCTGGAAAGCCATCACTGCCTTGGAGCTTGAGAAGGTTATGGATTAGTTAATTTTAGTCCTACTAGGGAAACACAAATGCTAGGTTGTTTTTCATCCTTCATTCTCTCTCTGGTATTTATAAACCAGTGAACTAATATCTCCCAGTACTTCTGCACCTGTAAAATCTAAAAAAATACCCCCAAACATTACCATCTCTAAATACTCTGCCTTTACATCAACTGTGAAATGTTTACTGCGGTGTAGATGTCTCTGAACATTATTCTTAGGCTGAAGTCCGGCAAAAAGCTGAATATAGTAATGGTGAAATAGGAAAATGGTGGTACAGAGAAGTCCAGAATTATTTCTGATACAGCTCTGTCACTGGTTGAGGGAGAAACAATTTAGTAGATGCTAAAATGCAGAATTCTGCTCTTCTCCTTGATCTTCATCTGAATTTGGATTATATCATTCCAAAAGCATCTTTGAATATGATTGGCGCTTTTGTTTAAGGAAAAGAAAGCAAGCTGTATGATCTGATGATGTAAGACTTAATCTTTGAGAAACTGGGAGCATTTATACGTGCTGAATATGTCTAAAAGTTGCATCTCACATCTTAGATGGTGTGGAACCATGTGGCTCTCGACACTGAATTTATGTATAAAAATGCCAATGAAAAGAGTTATCTAATCTCTCCATACAAATGTAGCCCCTGACACTGTGTATTATGTATTATTCTGAATGGGTTTTGGTGAATTCTAGGTGCAGCTTCAACATCAGCAGTGGTTTTGCACTAATCTTTCAATAGAAAAAGATAAGAAAAGTAAAAATAAAGGGGATCCAGGTAGAACCAGCATACTCTATATTTCAGTGGAAAATGTGACACTTGCCATTTAGGCTTGCTTTACTATGTATCCATGTCTGCAATAGGGGAATTACCTTTTTGGTAAGTACTTCGCCTGTGAATTAAATGCTTAGTAAAATATTTGTGTGCACAAATATGCATAGTGGTTTGATTTGTTCATTGTTTGTTTTTTTTTGTTTTGTTTTGGACTTTGGGTTTTTTTTCATACTGGATACCAAATGTAAATAAAGTGAGCAGAAACCCTTCTTGGACATGACCAGGAATCAACTGTGATTGCGGTGAAGCAACTTGTGCTGACTGGGAATGGCCAGGGATTACTGGTGTGTCAGCCTTGTGTGTCTGGTCCCTCCTTCTGCCCAGAAAGGTCTCTGTGGGCCACAGGACATTTCTGAGGGCCTTTTACTGAAGTGTTATTCCAAAACATGTTGTCCTTGGAGGAATAAGGGGTGGCAGTAGTGAGGCACTGATTTGGCTTGGGAAATTCTGCTGTTGTTTATATTTTATGTATACTCTTGCTGTAGGCTAGTGGAACTGGAATTGTGATTGATAGCCTGTCGTTAAAGAAATTACTTTACAGTTGAAATAAAGCAATGAAGTTTAATGCATTTTCTGAGATAACAAACCTTAAAATGGAAGTCATTGGTGGATTCTGAGATTACATTTATCATGATTTCTGTGCAGGGTCTGTGCTGTTAAAAGTTACTAGAACAGCAACATCTCACATTATGGTTTTCACAGTTCAACCTTTGTTGTCTTTGTTCATATTTATAGGAGAAGCCCAGATGTACAAGCTAAAGAAGAACTGTGGAAACATATTCAGTAAGTACAGTCCTTGTAGGGTCTGGGAGATGCTTGGTTTTCCTCTAATGTAGTTATTCACATACCCTGTGCTGTGGCTATAAGGCATTACATTTTGATTTAGTTATGTGCCACAGTAAATTATGGGCGTGTTAATGACCTGCTGTGTGTAGAAGATACTGCAGATCACTGAATGCACTGAATACAGAAGACCATTGTATGTAAATGAATTATTAAAGAACAATGCTCGGTTTTAGAGATTTATTCCTCTATGGCTTCCAAAATGCCTTTGCTTGTAATACTGACACTTTTAGGATGACACCCCATATGCTACAGAACTACCCGTTAGGAAGATATTTAGTTATTCCAGAGCATATTAATTGTTTAGGATACGCAATGTTCATCATAATGTGAAGCAACAAGATCAGATTTGCAGGGAGGTGAGAGGAAGGTGGAACAGGATGCAACATACAGTTGAAGCAATCAAGGTGAAGTTACACTTATTTCTAAATAGGTTTCCTGTTTTGATGTCAAGATAGCTTCAGGGCTGACAACAGCTTGTTTCAGTAAATCTTTTAAGCCCACTCTAATAAAAATAAGAACATTTTTGCACTTCATAGTTACTGTTACATTTTTTACTCTTCCTAATCCTTTATAGGAAGGAGCTTGTGGATCCATCTGGCCTATCTGAAGAGCAGTTGAAAGAAATTCCATACACTAAAGTAGAGTGAGTTTATGTCAGGAGTTTTCTTTGTGAATGTAAAAGCCCACTTTTCTTATTTTACTGTGAACTCTGTCATATTGACAGAGAAATGGGTTAACACATAATTTCTGAGCTCTTATCTGCTCCAAATACTCATCTAGGATGGCTTGGGTGAGGTTACTTAATAATCTTGAAGCCTAGTATTTTCTCTTTTTAAAACATCTCTCCCACACACTCGTGAATCTGTCAGATTTCTGTATGTTCTGTATGTCTTCCTATGCCATCCACGGATATTTTTTAAATTATAAACTACAGAATCAGAGAGAATTGGATGCAAACAAGCAAATCTATTTATTTCCTAAACTTTTTCTTTGTTTTGAATATTTATTCTGCTCACAAAGCTCTGTTGGACCTCTACAACCCCCTTCCTGGCTTGTCATGGGCAGCTGCCGGGGCACAGCTATTTCCTTGAGAGCCAACACCTATTTCACTGTGATAATTGCTCATTTGGGATGCCATGTGTCAGTGCAGCTGCATGTGGCAGAAATGGCATTCTGTTTTGCATTATAATGTGCTTCCACAAGACCACTAAACAGAAAAGGCTGATGTTAAGGATGCTTTAATAAAGAATGCATTAATTTATACTTCATGCTGAAATATGGGCATGCCAGTTTGTGATCTCTGCACTTCTAAAGCATTGAATTCCAAGTACAGGCTTTTTTAAAAAAAGCATCAACCTTTTAAATTCAGCCAGTGCAATAAGCCATCTGTTATACTTTAATAAGAAATGAGAGGATCTCTCACTCTGCAGCTGAATTTGTGTTTTGTGCCAAAGATCTGGTTTACTAACCTACTGCTGTGAATTCTGCGTCTCTCTCAGGACTCAAGGCGACCCGATCCGCATTAGGCATTCACATTCCCCTCGAAGCTACCGTCAATATCGGCGGTCCCAGTGCTCTGATGGTGAAAGATCTGTCCTCTCTGAAGTGAAGTATGTGAATGCGGTTAATAGCAATGCAGCCCAAAAGCTATTCAAAGGTCATGGTGATTAGAAGTGGAATAAATGTGGCTGGTTGGTGGCACAGGATTCAGGCAACCCTCTAAATACTGTGTCTTCCAAGCCACATGAATGAAACAACCACAAAACCATTTCTGTTCTATTCTGGGCCACAGTGCCTTGCTTTATCCACTTGGAAGGAAGAAAAACTGAAAAAGTTGAAATAAACCTGTATTTGCCTTTAGTGGTAGGTCATGAAGTTGCCTAAGGCATGAGGAATCATGAGTTGCCTTCCAGATTCCTTCATCCTTAATAGAGTTAAGATGTTATCTGTATTAAGTCTGTAATTTGTTTCATGGGAAGTCTGGTACAACCCTCTTCATCAATGGGTGGATCAGTCTTTGCTAAAAGACTGAAGAGGAATGATGAATGGAAAAGTGACAGCCCCATTCTCAGTTGTAGTAAGGCCTTAAAAATATAAAAAGCAGTTTCCTGATGATGTCACCCACCTGGAAGGCTAGTTTTAGCTAGATAGCACCCTGAAGGAGGTGTAGCTCATCCATGATTTCAAATGAGACTCATCTTTACTCTGAGGTGGTGGGCACATGTTGCCCAGAGAAGCTGTGGCTGTCCCATACCTGGAAGTGTCCAAGGCCAGGTTGGGCAGGGCTTGGAGAGACCTGGTCTAGTGGAAGGTGTCCCTGCCCATGGAACTAAACGATCTTTTAGGTCCCTTCCAACCCAAAACATTCTAAGGTTCTCTGATCTTGCATGAAGTTGGGCTGCTTCTGTAGACCAGGAGAAGACAGGGATGGGGTGGCCTGTGCCCTGTAGATGCCCACTGAGGATCAGCATGATAGCTTTCAGATATCTAAAGTCAGGTGATAAGCCTTTCAGATCTATGCAGCTGTCTGGGTTGGTTTCATTATTGTTCTTCTGCACACTTATATTTTACTTCATTAAAGCAATATCCATTTTGTGGTATCATAATTCCAGTGTTAAAACTGATCTAGTCCCTCCACTACCTGTTACACGATCTTCAGATGTGAAAGGTCCCAGCATCCAATTGACTCAACAGGTTAGTAATTGTAAATACTTTTCAATTTTCCTTCTTTTTTTTTTGGATGGAGAAGCGGGGCTTTATTTAAGTTAAGTCTTGATTTTCACTGAAAAGTAAAGCTGGCTGTGATTTTTTTCAGCAGCAGTATCACTTGAAATTTTGCATTTTGATTTTATTTACAGTTTGTTGATATTTCAAAATACAGGCAGTTCTGTAGCATATGCCGCTATGAACATCTGCTTCTGCTGCTGGAGAACTCTTTTCCAGCTTGAGTTTCATACATCCTTAAGATGATACTCTCTTCTTCACAGAAGGAGAACTTAATTTCAAAACTTCTTAAAATATGCAAATGGACTTGTAATGCAGGTATAATCACAACCTGCTATCATTTTTTCACCTCTTTTAGACGTCTTGTTTGAGCTTTGTTGCTTGGGCTTGAAGCATTTTTTTCTTTTCATTTTTCTTTTCTTTTTTCCCCTCTTCTCAAATACTGAATTTTTTTTTAGGTTATTGACATCTAAAAAGGACAGAATGCATCTTTTCTAGATGCAATCACTATCTTTCATCATATATTATACTACTCTATCTCTCTTCTTTGATAGTTTTGTTGAGCTTCAAATGTGAGAAGCAAATTTTATTCAAAAGCACTTGCAAGTGAGCACGCAAAAGGAAAACCAAAACATGTAAGGAAGAATTCCAGATACCTAACTTCCCATACCAGTCATCAAGTCTGTTCATCTAGCATGTGGATATACTAAAACTGCATGCTGATACTCTATGCAGTGTGGAAACTGCACAAAATACTAGCAAAACATGTCCTATTTTATCTTGTAAGCAATTAGAATAATTTAAGCTTGTACGATTTTAAAACAATAAATAGGTATTTTTCACAATTAGGCTAGTTAACACACTATCTATTCTTTGATACCAATTAAGTTCAATGATACTTCTAATTCCTACATATGATGGAAAGTGAAAAAGATGAGCTGTCCTTGATGTTTCTGTAAGGACTTGCTCCTACAGTGATGGGGAAGTTGGGTTACTTAAGGCTAAGCACATTTACATGCTTTGTAGAAATAGGTAACTTGTTCTGTTCAAAATCCACATTGTCTTATTTCTATTCCTATCCAATAACATGTGGCTTAAATGCATACCTTATGAGGAATTAAGGTTAAAATGTTCAGTGTCTATAAACAGCTGTCTTTTCCCTCTGCCCCAGGCCCTCTCACAACAGTGGCCATTAATTCCTTGTGAGTGTTTGCTTGCAGTGTTTTGCTAAATATCAAATCATTAATTATGGCATTTCCTGAATGGGCAGTGTAGCACAGAGGGGCAGCAGCTGGCAGGAGGCAAGAGGGAGAAAATGTTCTGTTTGATCAAAAAAATGTAGAGGCTTCAATATTCGTGGGGTGTGTGTGTATGTGTGTGTGTATATATATATATATGTAAATTGCTGTATCCATAGCCTAAGGCTTTCATAGCGACAGTTGGCAAAATACAGTACTGAAATTCCCCAAAACTTTTTCAACATGTTTAATTTGTTCTTTTCAGGGACTGAATGGATCTAAAGACAGTCTAATAGAAGACACATCTCAGCCATCCCCTAATAATGTTGTTGGAAAGCCCACCACTAAGATCATAAAAACTGTACGGGTGTCACGCTTCAAGGTGGAGACTTGACTGGTGAATTGAAGATGGTGCATGGATTTTAGTGTTTGAAGCTGAGAATTTGTTTATGTGTGCAAGGGAAGGAACTGACGTCGACATGGTAATAACTTCTTCAGGACACCTGGAAGTGCAGCCTGCTTGCTGGGAAGACCAAGCAATGCTTTTATCACTGACTGGGTATCACATTCTAGTGATGTGACTGATTGAGGAGAAGCTGCCTGGTAGACAACCAAAAAGAAAAGTCCTAGTAAAACTGAATGATCAGCATTTACATTTCCAAAAAATGAACAACAAAAAAAAAAAGAAAAAGAAAAAAAATTGCTGCAACAAAACAGGCTTCATGGTCTGCTCTGTAAGTGAATAGCCTTGTTCCAAAGTGACTGTTAATTGACACGATCAGGACCAGATTCTTCAAGATAAGTAAAACAGTTGTATTTTTGGTCAATTGTGCAATACAGTGTGATATGGGGAGAATTATCTTCATGATTTTATATGGGGATCAACTTATGTCCTGAGACATAAGGACTGATAGCTCTTACAAGGTTTATTTTAGCCTAGCACAGTAACAGATGTCATGTTTCTATTACAAATTTTGAATCAAAAATAACAGACTCAGTAACACTCTGCAGCAGTGAGTTCCAGAGATGATACAGATTTACTTTCCCTTGACAGTTTTAAGTGTTCTAAATTTTGAATGTCCTTTTATGTAGAGGGACTATTTAATTGAACATTCCATAGCCTAGAAATACATTTACCAACTTATAGTAAAGCACACTGGAAACAAACTGGAGAATATGTACTGACCCACTGTATCAAGAACTGCTTAGCAAGTGCTGGTTAAATGAAACTTGTGGAGTAGTATTTAAGACAGCTAGGAAATAGCCTTTTTGATTTTTAGTTTTTAACTAAATTAGCAAAATCTGCCTTAATCTCCTGTCATATAAAATAATCTGTCACTTTTCTCTGAGCCATTTCTACTACGTTAAAGTGACAAAGGCAGTATTTCAGGTGTGATAACTACAATTGTTTTTTTCTATTGTCATGGTAGGAATACTAAGTTTCAATGATGCTGCACATTGAGTGGGTTATCTGTCAGTATGTATCTGAAGTGATGCCTGACTCTTCTCTTGTCCTATCACTCTGTACAAATATCTGAAAGTCATTCCTCTGCCTCCCATTTGTCCACAGTCAGCACATGTATGAGCCTTCTGGTGTTGCGCACTTCTAAGAAGCTTAGCAAAGTCTTTATTTTTTTGTAATTTTTGCTAAGTGTAATCCTCAAACTAAATACTGAATTTGTCAAACAGGATTGTAAATGGCTTCAGTAGCTCATGTGCCTTTCTACATCTGTCCTCCTTACACTCAACTCTTATGACCTACAGTGATTTACAGTGATCCTGTGTTTTGTAGCCCAAGCAAGACTGTACCAGGGAACTGCAGCCCTGTCAGAAAAGCAATACTGTTTGAGAACTGCAGTAAGCATAAGGGATTACCAATACACATTTTAACTAACAAAACTGATAAGTGAAGCCTTGTATGATGTGTTTTATTTTCCACTTCATTTTTTGATCCTTTTTTGTTTCATGATCTGAGGTGGCCAGGTGGATGTTACTAGCCATGGCAGTAGCCATACAGTTCATGTATTCCTATCACAGTATAAATTGGTCCGCAGGTTGGGAAATGCCGCAATCTGCCAGGGAAGAAGGATTCACTCAATAAATACTATTCTTTGATCACTTACTTTGGACAGTTCTGCTTCTTCAGCCTCAGTGAACAAATCTAAGGGAAGGAAAGAGTGAAAAGTCCTCTGTGGTAAAAATTCTGTTATCACGGAGGTTCTTCAGAATTTTCTGAATTTACTACAGATTTTATCCTAGAACATCGTTGGGCTTTCCTTAAAGTATTTGATCATTTTTTTTAAGTCTGTAAAATGGTTTTATTGTCATTGCTCCAACTTAAAGTGATCCTTTAGGATTTATTTATGATCTTGTGTAGTATTCTCACAGGCAACAGTTAAAAAAAGCACAAACAAAACAAAAAGAAAAAACCCCACCCCAAGCCCCCCCAAAAAAACCGCCAAAAAACCCCCCATGAGCCTAAGGAAAAAAAATCAATGTGGCAAAATCGCTTAATCAAGAGCATCACAATCTTTCGGAAGACCACTGAAATATGACAAACCATACATGAACTGGTTACAATGTCTGCAATGAAAGTCACTCCTTGTTTCTTCCAAAAGGTGTTCCAAGCTGCAGCATTATACACTTGCTTGTAGTTTGCTGCTTTCTAAATCATTACCATTAGTTTGCAATCCTTACTCAGGCACAGGCAAGTAGAGCATATGTATTTCAACAGATATGTGTTGTTACTATTTGAGAATTATCTGTACATAGTGTCCATATCTTGCCAGTCTTCAAATATTGATGAAGAAGAAAATTACTTTTAAGGTTTATATCCAATCTCATGTTTTCCTGTATGTTGTCATCTGCCTGTGGGCTTTTGTGTGTTATTGTTGGATACCATCAGCCAAGTGTGTGGCATTTTACTTACTCCACTACATCATAAAATAGGCTTCTGTCTAGTGTAATAGTGAAAAGTTTCAATTCTCAAGTCATCAGAGAGTTGTTTTGTAATCAAGCCAACTTTTTTGCATTTAAATGAGAAATTTACAGAGAAAGCCGTGGATTTGAGTTAGCTGTCTTCTCTTCAATGAGACTATGTAGGAAGCAGGTTTTAGCAAATCTAATGTCAGTCTGGGGCACTACAATACAGTTTTGTATCCACAAAAGAAAGATTAAGCATATAATGCCTGTATTACACATTGTCTGTGCCAAAACAAGGCAAAACTTGGGACATCACTGTCAGCTAATAGAACAGAAAAGTTCTATTTATGTGAGCCTCCTTTCCTTTCAAGCTTCTTCTCCTGTCATTTGAGGAAAGGCACCCTTTTTAATGATATTTTTATTGTGAGACACCTACAAGTGATGAATCACTGAAAGCACTTATTGTGTCACAGCTGTGCTTTGTAGATCTAAACCAGCACTACATGTTTAAGCGACTGACCTCTTACAGCTCTGAGCTACACCTTGCCCTTTCCACTGTTGCTACCCTTCCCCCCCCACACTCTTGGGGCTTTCACTGCCTAGAGGCATGGCTTTTCAGATCTGGAGTTTGGATGCCAGTCCAAAATGCTTGTACCTCCTGATGGGTCAGGTAAAGAATCAGGCAAAAGACATGAGCTGCACAACTGTGTCAGGCAAAATGTACCCTGGGGTTGATGCTACACAGACCTCTCCTCATTTGGACAAAAAGGACTGATATTTGAGATATTCTCATCCTAATTCTGCTGAATTGATCTCAGGCTGACAAATATAACTTTGTGCCTCTGCATTTATCTCTTCTGAGACGTCTCTAAGTGCTAAGCACTGGTAAGTTACAGAACTCTCCCAATAATTAGCAACAACTACAACATAGATAAACCTTTTGTGAAACGTATTTTATACAATAAGAGGGCTTGCAACCACAACACAAAAGCATTTTTGTATATCCCATATTGGTTCCTTTGCTTAGTTAGCTGGTTTCTTTCATTAGGGGCTACCCTTGACCTGCTGTTTTCTACACTGCACCTATTTACCAGCATCACTTGCAACTTGTATTCTAAACAAGTTCATTATGTTGAACATATTGGTTGGAAAAAAAAAGTCAACACCATTTAAATTGCCAAATCCATTACCTTTATACAGGTGAGTACTGAACCGAATAAATAGTGCATTCTCTTTTGGGAAGGTCTGTTTAATTCAAAACTCCCTAGAAAGATGTTTGAAAACAACATTCATAAACATATCAATGTGATGCCTATGTTCTATGTACATTAAGTACATTAAGTACATTAAGTACATTAAGTATTCATGAAGCAACTGTGTGCTTTGACAGATGACTGTGTCAATATTTGTGTCCAGGTTATTTAAAAGTCAAGTAAAACTTGAATTTTTAGGGCATGCCGTGGTTGCCTGTGTGTGTTATTTACGTTACACAAAGGCGCAAAGCCTTCAGAAACACAGATTCATTTGACACCACCATCTGGTAAAAACAGGTGTAATACCAATTAAAATCCACTTGAGGATACAGCTACTCCAGGTTAAGTATTTGTCCCCATAGCAGGAATTTGTCAGTCCAAGTTTTATATTTCCAATGTATATCCAGGCTACCGTTTCCTTACCTAAAAATCACCAGAAAAGCAACAGCAGACTATATAAGCTGTCAAACCAAACACACCGACACTCTCTCCTTAATGTGCCTGTTTTCTCCCTCTATTTGTCTCCTGAGTAAGAGTTGTGGTGGGTTGGCCTTGGCTGGACACCAAGCTGCTCTATCACTTCCCCTCCTTAGCAGGATGGGGCAGGGGAGAGAAAATCAAATGTAAAAAAACCTTGTGGGTCAAGATAAAGACAGTTTCATAAAACAAAAGCAAAAGGCACATGGAGATGGGAAAAAAAAACCCACAACCAAACAAAAGAACAACAAACAAACCCAAAAGATTTGCTTTCTACTTCCCATCAGCACATGACATCCATCCACTTTCTGGGACTTCCAGTACACTTAGTAGATTGCTCCAGAATAGGAACATCATAAGAATTAATGCCCCTCCCCCTTATCCTTTCTCTTTAGCTTTTATTGCTGAGCAAACTCCCTTTGGTCAGCTGTCCCAAACAAGATCTTGCCCCCTCCCAAGATTTTGCCCATCCCCAGCCTACTGAGGGGAGAATGTTGAAGAGACAGCCTTGATGCAGTAGCCAAAACACTGGTTATCAACACCTTTCTAGCTGCCAATACAGAGCCAAGCACTACAAGGGCTGCTGCAGGGAAAATTAACTCCCTCTCTACCGGACCCAATACAAGAGTGAAGAAAACCACTGCCTTCCCAACTGGTCACTATGTAAATGATACACTTCACTTGCTGCAATGTTAAAATCTCAAAACCAGCTACAACTGTGCATGTATTTTCTCAGTGAGGCTACCAGAATGTACTTCACATTCTTCATAAACTACTATCATTACATTTACTACAAATGAGCCCCTTTGCTGGGCAGAAGGGGCAATGGATTTATGTTCAAGAATGCCCCCACAGATAGACTGTTTCCATGGAACAGAGCAAGTCTTAATCTTAGGTGCAGTGTGTTAAAACGTGAAGAGTAATTTGGAACAAGGTGGTTTTCTTTCTGTGCACACCTCTCAGAAGTTCTGATTTGCGGCTTCTGGTATGGAGAGCCCTCTTCCAGAGAGGGCTGGAGGCATGTAACAGGAAGGAGGGGTGGTACAACACCTAGCTCACAGATCTTTGTTCTCTTGCTCTCTTAAAACCACCTCAGAATCTGCTCTCCTTTTTACTGTTTAATACTACCAACTCCAAAAATTGGTCAGACATTGTATTCAGGTAAAACAGAGGAAGGGGAAAAAGAAAAATAAATAAGTAGTCTGACATTTTATTTAAGGATACAATCCAGTTAGCCACTCATACAAAATAAAAGGCAGTCCTAATGCTTAACACCGTATTTCATGTTTACCAACATTACTATTTTAGTAATCTGTGACCCTTACACCCACCTATTCCTCCCTCTACCTCACCTTTTTTCACTTTCCACCCCACAATGAAACCTGTATTACACACTGAAGCTTAAGGTTCTACATTTTTTCCTGTTGGAAGGTAATTAACATTTTAGATATCCATCATCAAAACTTGGCGTTAGCTGTTGCTCTCTAGAGTTGGGGGTTTTTGTTGTGTTTTTTGTTCATTTGTATAAAATCTTAGAAGCTACTCCTGTCAGTCTTATACTTCTAAGAACAAAGACCCATGAGCAAAACTCCAGAACAGATGGTATCCTCAGAGGATATAATCCCTAACAGAAACCCTAAACTTTCAAGTGCATCCAGTAATTACATGTTGGGTCATAAAAATTAATTACTCTTGTCTAAACCTTCTTCCTTGTTGACAAACCAAAAATGAACTTAGACTTAGTATTACATTCAATACTGAAAAATCAGACATTGGAAGATACACAATTTCAGCATTTGCTCTTTTGATAAAATTTATTTTTGTTAAGTCTTCCTAATAAAAAACCAAGCAGCATTTCCAGTTGTTATCTCAAGAGTATTTCACTCTACTTCAAGTTTAGTTGAAGTACCATACTACAGAGCTGATCAAGGTAGTAATAAGCCAAGATTACAGCTTTCCATGTTGTAGAGATACCTTTACTGCTATTTTTAAATCCAGGTTTGCTACATTTAAATTTTTACTTTTGCTCGCCACAATACAAATCTCAGCTAACCCTATCTCTGAGTACTATAATGGTTTTAGTGGTTACATCCCAACCACTTGGCAGCTCCTAGGGTTTGTTGAGTCCAAAGGGGTACATTGGTATCCCAACAATAATTCAGAGGAAGTCAGGACTGTCAAACAGAAGCAACTGCTATCATAGCTTGGGAAAGGTAGAAATTCTAAGAACAGAAACATAAATCTTCATTTTTTGTCTACATAAACATTACCAGACACTGCCCCAATACAGTTAAAAGTGACTTGTGTTACTACGTGCAGGCTTAATAGTCCATCTTTTAAACAGTTTTTTGTTTCTTATGGATTAGTGCTGCACAGTCAGTTGGTCTCAGGCTGGTTCTAACAATTCTTCCTGGGGAAAAAAAGTAAACACATTGTGAGACTGGACATATGGTAGCACATAGCTGTTTTCAGTAACATCCTCTAAATCTGTGAGACTGATACAAAATTACAGGGATCAGCTTCCCCTTCCTCCTTTTGGGAAAAAAGTGAAAAGCTGAAGTGTGCATATCTAATTTTTAAAAAACCTACAAGCAATAGGAGCTCTTTGCCCACCTAATCAAGAGTTCAGATACTATTTACAAGCTGGTGGCAGTAATAACACTTTCCGGATGATGGGGTTCAACAGAATGTTTTGTACTAACTCATGCATATGATATGACTGTGACATAGTATACAACAGTTTGAGAGAACACTAATAATAGAAAGACAAGATTTAGTAATTTTGTGTTGAAAAACAAGCAGCAGCTCTGATATTATGTAC